TGTTTAAGAAGTGAAAAAGTTGAATTGTAGTTTGACTTTATTAAAAATAACTTATTTAGTTAGATTCAAAAAAAACTCTTAAAGTAGAACTTTACTATATATGCAAATTTATCATAAATATAGTAACTCTTGTTTGGGGACTGACTATTTTAGCTAAAAAGTCAAAAAGCTAACTAAAACTAGTCACATCACCTCTCTACTTTTCTGCATATCTTTTCATAAAAAGTCAAAAAGTTACTAAAATAACATGTTCTTAAACAAGGTCTTGTGAGCAACCAATTATGACTTTTTAACTGTACACATATGAGTAATGTTAGAAATTTTAAAAATTTTATTAAAATTTTTACTAAATGTTTTATATGGATATGGGACCTACATAATATGGGTCTTACATAGGTCTCACACCCATTAACACATTTAGTAAAATTTTTGATTGAATTTTTAAAATTTTTAATATTTTTGATAAACATATATATGGTGTCATTTACTATTTCATTTACATTGCCGTTAATATTTGTGGAGTTTCGTTTGACTGTTCATCTAATCTGTGAATGGTCAAATATTCATTTCATTGGTTTAGTTACTTTGACGAACTCCAAAACCAATATATTGTCAAGCAGACATATCTTTAAAATTCACCCATTTTATATAATTCAAAAGGTTGGTCTTTCTTCATCCATTTTAATTTTTTGAGTTTACTGTAGAACTACAACCCTTTTTTTTCAACTGATACATTACAAAGCTAGTGGTTCCTAATCTCCACTTTTTTTTTTCTTTCTTTCTTTTAAATAAATCTTAAAGCTTCATGTTCGAGTAATTAAAGCTTTTTCAGAAAGAAAACAAATTTCTATTATGACTTATTCATCCAAAAAAAACAAAAAACAAATTTCTATGTTTCTATGCTAGCTGCTGCTTCAAATGATTTGTATAGCTATGTTTGATTATTTACAACTTTCTTTATTGGCAAAATCGATTAACATTACATTGAGATTCTTTATTGGCAAAAAATAAATAAATAACTATTGATCTCTTTGATAATTCACAAAAGGAATAGATAGATAATAAATAGTTTTAATTACTCTGAAGGTTATTTTTATTTAAGAGAGGTAATAATACCAGTGAAGAGATCTGAGGACATAGAAACTTAATATGTGTTGTTAAGAAGGATAACCGAACAAGAAGATACTTTTTTCTGAGTCTTGCATTGGAAAAATTTAGAAAAGAAAGGATGCCCCATGGGCTGTGCGCTATTTTGGTGGGTTTGAATCCAAAGGTAAAGATATATAATTCCAAGCTTCTTGGGCAATTCAAGATAGGCCAGATATAACTGTGGATGGCTCAATGGAGAAAGGTAACAAAATTCCTTTTTTACAGTTACTGGCTGTTTTTGATACTTTAGGTGGTAACTGATGATATTTCTGTGTTCAAAAAAATAAAATTTCAAAAAATTATCATTACGGGTCGGGCTGTAATTTTTTTCTTTTTTCCTTGGGAATAAAGGGTATCCAAAACTTTATATACATACCGAGTAATTATTGAGCACATATCTTGTTTGGGACAAAAGCCTGGACTCAATTCAAAAAAATATATATATTATTTTGATTTGATTGGATTGGATTCAATTTGTGTCAAATCTAGTTACTCTGACATATTTGAAAAAAAAAATTTACTTCTCTTTCTCTTTTAAAGAAATTTGCATGTATTCATACTTTTCAAATTGCAGTACACTAGTGAATCATCGTATTTGCCTTGTTTGTTTATATTAATCTAGTGTTGGCTGTTATGAGAGAAGTTATTTGGTGATCCAAGATCAGGGCCAGTTGGCACTCTAATAGCATATTACTTGGTGAATAGTCTGACGAATGAACAGTAATATCCTGCATGGCCTCACCAGCAGGGTCCTACTTAATGGGAATAGGATAGGAGCACCATGTGGTGTTGCTGTAGATCGAATTATAATTTTTCCTATTATGAGACCATGCTTGGGGATTGCACATTTTGGGTAGTAAGATGTTCCCAAGCATTGAGAAAGTTCTTTGACTCTCCAAATACTTAAAAATGATAAATTCCAAAAAAAAAAAAATTTAAATTACTTAAAAGATCATATCAGCTTTTATTGGCTTCTAAAAGTCCCATTAGCATAAATCCGTTACAACATGTTTGAATCATGAATTTAAATAGAAATTTAAAAAGAAAAATAAAGAAAGAGTTTAACTTATTTCTCATTCATAGTTTTCTTATCTTTTTTCTTACCAAACCCCTACTCAAATCCTTAATCAAAACACAGCCATAGTGAATTCCATCTCACCATTTTTGCAGGCCCACTAATAATATCTATAGTGGTGTGTTTGTGCAAACAAATTAATAGATTTCTTCAATTAAGGAGAAAAATAATGCTTCAGTAGAGGTGTGTGTTTGTTTGTTAAAGGGGAAGTGAAAGAGGTTACTTTATAAATTACACTTAACACACTCTTAACATTTTAATTGCACTTACATACTCATTTAATTAACAAAATTTTAACACAAAAATTTAAATGTTATTTGTATGCATTTTTACCAACTAATACACGCAAACACACACATAGTTTTAATATCTCCAAGAAACCACTGCACTAATTTTAGTTATATGTCACCTCAACTCATAAGTTATATAGAAAACTGCCTCGTTTTTTTTTTTGATTGGCAAAAAAGAAATTTTGTTGATGGAATAAACAAGTACAAGGTACAAGACAATTACATCAATAAAGAAAAAGGGAATGCAAAAGCATCACAATGAGCTAAATGATCCCAACTAGGTTGGCACCACAAAGCTCATCCTATCATTTACTAGCACCCCCAAGTTGGTGAGAGACCGACAAAAAAGAACAGACCATAGTAACATCAGAACAGCCACCCAACCAACCAACCAAACCTAGCACCCAAGCATAGTCTGATTTACGGCCCTGTATGCTGATCAACCACAATTTAAATTCCTAGTGCTCATTATGCTAGCATAATCTTCACAGCAGCACAACCATAGAATAAAACCAGTTCAGAAGAAAATCAGATCAAAATGCAAACCCAAAAATGCAGCAACAGACCAGCTCATCTCAACATAACAGAGCCACCTAAAGTAATAAGCCACCATATACAATGCACTAAAACTGCTGCTGCCACAAAATTCAATATCTTTTGAGTCCTACTTCAGAGGCGAAGGTATTCATTCATGAGCAACTCTCCTACTACCAGCTGAGTAACTTCAAAAGCAACCACTAATGCAAACTTGAAAACTAGAAAAAACTTCTAAACCTCAGATCCACCAAAGCTGCAGCTGACAGAGAAAACTGCCTCCTTGATGTGATGTCTCCCTATTTTTGCACAGAGTTGGCCCTACATATCCTTTTCACTAGTAGAAGAATACCATTCATGACGTTATTTTCCATTTTTGCATTCAATAATGCTATTTCTTGCAATTATGAAAGTCACCTTCTATTGACCATAAAATTAATTGTATAATTTCCTTTCCATCAACATAAATATAAGTAGTTTAATAAGTGTTTAAATTTAAAATTTATGATGTGGAAATGAATTTGATCTATATATTTAAAATTATGATCACTTTTCTAAATATATATATATATGTTTATTCTATATATGTAATGCGTTAAAGGTCACTAGTAACCCAAAAAAAAGGAGCCAGTGTTCCTTTTAACTTGTCTGTCTCTCTTGCTTTTTTCTTTTTCTTTTTTTTTTTTCCTCTCAAATTTTGTTTCATAAATTTACTGTAATCTCTCGCTAGGTATTATCTTTCAATTTGTTTATTTCTGAAGGGAAGAAAAAATTATTTCAAGTATATTTGTATGAAGTATGCAGCCAATGTTTTTGTTATAAAGCCCCATTGGTTGTACTATTTGCTCCTTGTTATTATTAATGGAAGTTCATTATTTTTGCTGATAAAAAAATTTAAAAAAATGTGGCTAATAGCACCACTGATACTTCTAAAAAGCACTGCAAGTATTACATGTGACGATGTTCAGGACTGTATGCACAACATAAACCACCATCTATTCCAACCTTGTTGAGTAGGAGGCGGTTTATGTGGTGAAATATATGGTGCCTGCAGCATTGTTGGATGTTGATTGGCACTCCCCTCTTTGCATACCCATTACTTGGTAGAGAATTAACAAAAGACTGCATTACTAGATGGACAACAACTTGGGGGTGCTAGGTTTGGTTGGTTGGTTGTTTTATTTCAGATGTTTGGCTGATGGTCTGAATTTGGTGGCTGTTCTGATGTTACTATGGTCTGTTCTTTTTTCGTTGGTCTCTCACCAAATTGGGGGTGCTAGCAAATGATAGGATGAGCTTTGTGGTGCCAACCTAGTTGGGATCATTTAGCTTATTGTAATGCTTTCGCACTTCCCTTTTCTTTATTGATGTAATTTGTCTTGTACCTTATACTTGTTTATTCCATCAATAAAGTTTCTTTTTTGCCGATCAAAAAAAAAAAAACTAGATGGACAACAAAAGAGCTCCTCATATAACTTATTTTAGTCAATTTTCCTATGTTTCCCTTTTCTTTTTCCATTTTTTTTTTTATTTCTATTTTAAAGAAACCATGAATTAGAAATTTACCTGCTCAAAGCAACAACGCCAACTTTCATTCTCGCTCTAGTTCGCCGTTCAAATATTGCAGCTCTAGAAAATCTAGGCAAAAACAATATAAAAAATGGCATGTGGGTGATGACAGCATAGTGTTGATTTATTTCTCGTTAAAAGTTGAGGACACATTGTTTTAGTAGGACAGGCAGCCTGTGACATATCATTGTAGTGTGGCAGGTCATTAATTGGTGTTTGTAGGACTAATTTATGGAATCATGAAATGGTTGACTGGTCCCAAATTCATGAGCATGGAATGCTGCAGCTTGCCACTTCTTCGAACTCAATAATTCTGCTTACTGAGTGTTCTTCAACATTTGAATTGGTTTTGGGCTTATTATTGTGATTCTAATTTTGTCCAGGAAAAGATCCGAGTAGCTCTATATGTGCAGAAAGCAGCATTTCGTTTCATTGACGGTTTGTTTGTTACTAAATTCACCCCGTATTTTCTTATCCATTCAAACTCTGTTTACCTATCTCAATATTATCTTTTTTGTCTAGAACAGCGGGTAATCGGGTTGAGCACAGGCTGTCTGAAAATGTTAGGGAAGCTGGTTTTGGTGTTGAACCAGATGAACTTGCATCTGTCGTCCGTTCTCATGACAGCAAGGGCATGGAAACCCATGGTGGAGTCGAAGGATTCGCAAGAAAAATTTCTGTCTCGCTGAATGACGGTGTTGTTTCAACTGACATACCTCTAAGGCAAAAAGTCTTTGGCTTGAATAAATTTGTTGAGAAACCTTCCAGACCTTTCTGGATGTTTGTCTGGGAAGCCTTGCAAGACCTGACTCTGATCATCCTCATTGTATGTGCTGCAGTCTCTGTAGGTGTTGGAATTGCCACAGAAGGATGGCCAAAAGGTATGTATGATGGGCTAGGAATAATACTCTGTATTTTCTTGGTGGTTATGGTTACTGCAATCAGTGACTACAAGCAATCCTTGCAATTCAAGGATTTGGATAAGGAAAAGAAGAATATAATTGTTCATGTCACTAGAGATGGAAGCAGACAGAAGGTTTCCATCTATGATTTGGTTGTTGGGGATATAGTACATTTGTCCATTGGAGACCAAGTTCCTGCAGACGGGCTTTTCATATCAGGTTATAGCTTGTCCATTGATGAATCAAGCTTGTCGGGTGAGAGTGAGCCTGTTGATGTCGAGAAAGAGAGGCCGTTTCTTTTATCCGGGACCAAAGTTCAAGATGGATCTGGTAAAATGCTGGTAACATCGGTTGGTATGAGGACTGAGTGGGGGAGATTGATGGTTACTCTAAGCGAAGGCGGAGAAGATGAGACACCATTGCAGGTGAAGCTAAATGGAGTAGCAACCATTATTGGGAAAATTGGTTTGGCTTTTGCTGTAGTGACATTTTTGGTTTTGACCACACGGTTTCTAGTGGAGAAAGCACTAAATAATGAGATTGCAAAATGGTCTACAAGTGATGCACTGAACCTTTTGGATTTTTTTGCCATTGCAGTAACCATACTTGTGGTTGCAGTTCCAGAAGGGTTACCATTGGCAGTAACACTAAGTCTTGCCTTTGCAATGAAGAAACTAATGAATGATAAGGCACTTGTGAGGCATCTATCTGCATGTGAGACAATGGGATCTGCTAGTTGCATTTGCACAGATAAAACTGGAACATTGACTACAAACCATATGGTACTAACTAAACTATGGATCTGTGGAGATGCTAAATCGGTAAAAGGCAGTGAAGCTAGAAATTCATTATCTTCTTTATCTGAAAGACTACTAGGCATTCTATTGCAATCTATATTCCAGAATACAAGTTCCGAGGTGGTGAAGGGTAAAGACGGAAAGACAAACATCTTGGGCACTCCAACAGAGACAGCGTTGTTAGAGTTTGCCATGCTTTTCAAAGATCTTAATGCCTCTTGGAAGGAGTCTAAGATAGTAAAAGTTGAACCTTTTAATTCAGTGAAGAAGAAGATGTCTGTGCTTGTTGCTCTTCCAGGTGGTGGGCTTCGAGCATTCTGCAAAGGCGCATCAGAAATCATCTTGAAGATGTGTAACAATATTGTAAATGAAGATGGGGATTCTGTGGCTCTCTCAGAAGAACAGAGGGAAAACGTCACAAATGTCATAAATAGTTTTTCATGTGAAGCTCTAAGAACTCTATGCATGGCTTACAAGGATATAAAAGATGGTTCGCAAGTAGATAGTATTCCTGATGAAGACTATACACTTATAGTAGTTGTTGGGATTAAGGATCCAGTTCGCCCCGGTGTAAAGGAAGCCGTTCAGACTTGTTTGGCTGCGGGGATTAAGGTGCGAATGGTCACCGGTGACAATATTAATACTGCCAAAGCCATTGCTAAAGAATGTGGTATATTGACAGATGATGGTATTGCCATAGAAGGGTCTGATTTTCGTGACAAAACTACCCAGGAGATGAAGGAAATTATACCAAGACTTCAGGTTTGGCAATAGCTCTAATAATTTTTAGTAAAAATGATCATTTGGAATCCATGCAAAACATATATATATTTTTCTGATTGCTCGGTTAAATTTGAATTGTGCAGGTGATGGCTAGATCATTACCCTTGGATAAGCACAAGTTAGTAGCCCATTTGAGGACTGAGTTCAAAGAAATTGTGGCAGTGACTGGTGATGGGACCAACGATGCTCCTGCTTTGCATGAAGCAGATATTGGCCTTGCTATGGGTATAGCAGGAACAGAGGTTTGTTTCATTGTCGATTCAATTTTTTTGTCACAATTATTACAATCTCTTCTTCCAAGGTTACTGTTTCTTATTTTCTTTAGCTGCGTGTGCAGGTGTGTAATTTTATTTATTTATTTCATATTCTTGTTGCCCTTGTTGTTGCTATACTTGTGAAACTACTCTTACCTTGTACCCATGGGGATAGATGATATAGATTCTAAAAACACAGAACTGGACACCACGGGTTTGTGAGTGTATGTGTCCCATTTTTGCTTGTGTAGCAAGGCTCGGATGGACTATACCCAAGCCACAAGCTTCTTGCACTGTTTTGTAAGAAAATGTCCCATGCTTTCAATTAGTTATGCTTAAGAACGACCACAAAAACGATTTTGGTGGCCATTTAAACATAAATTGGATAAGTTCGAGAATAAATTGATACAATTCAAATATTGAGGACCAAACTGAAAACTGATAGAAACTTTGAAGACCTGATAGTGTATTTATTTAAGTCTAGTGGAGGAAAAAAAAAACCATTTCTGAGTGAACATTTATTTATGCATACTTCTTTTGGGTGTTAATTAACACAAACTCATCTTTGTGATCCTATGTCACTAGGAATTTACTCATCCATTGTTTTTTTTCCTTCTTAGAAAGCTATTTCAGTTTAGGTACTTCCATGAATCATGCAGTCTTTTTCTATGTACCTGCTCTTATCAATGCAGAGGACTTACAAGGGCAGCAATAGTTGAAAACGTTTAATACGGGCATGCACTCTATTTGCTTCGAATATTTTTCCTAGTATCTTAACGAATCATCTTCACTAATATTTCCTACAGGTTGCAAAGGAAAATGCTGATGTTGTCATAATGGATGATAACTTTAAAACTATTGTGAATGTTGCCAAATGGGGTCGTTCAGTTTATATTAACATTCAGAAGTTTGTGCAATTCCAGCTAACAGTTAACATTGTTGCTCTCATGATCAATTTTATCTCTGCTTGCATCTCCGGTGAGTTCATCCATCAATTAACCTTTTCAAAAAAATCCTGTCATATGGGTCTTCTAATTTACACAATGTTAGATGAAAAGTAATATCTGGAGGAATTTTCAGGATCTGCTCCTCTTACTGCTGTTCAGTTGCTTTGGGTGAATATGATTATGGACACTCTCGGAGCATTAGCTCTGGCTACCGAGCCTCCAAATGACGATCTGATGAAAAGGCCTCCTATTGGGAGGAATGTTACTTTTATAACTAAGGTCATGTGGAGGAACATTATAGGTCAGAGCATTTATCAACTGGCTGTCCTTACAGTTTTCAAATTTGATGGAAAGCGTTTGCTGAAGCTCAATGGTTCAGATGCTAACTCTATTCTCGATACATTCATATTCAACACCTTCGTATTTTGCCAGGTACTTGTACTAAACTCAGTTATTTACATTTGTTAAAACATAAACATTTTATTTCAATATATCTTACCCCTTGTCATTCTACCATACCTTCTTCCACTTGCGTGAGACGCGGACAGGAACAGAAAACTTGGATAGATTATACTAATAGAATTTTAGTTACTTTCGAGTAATTTCCATTTAACAACTAGATGTCCAATAAAATGTAGTTTATTTTTTTCAAATCAAACATGAACATATGAAATAACATATTTTTGTATGGACGTTATGACCAATTCTTTTACATTTTGTCATGCCAAAACTCTAGTCTCGTTAAATTGTGGTTCAGTATATTTGGTTTTTTCCCCTCAAGAAAACTTTACAGGAAATACATTGGAAAAAAAAAATACTGGATTTCTTAGATTGCTAAATTCCTTGCTTTCTAAATGACATTATATGTTTCAAAATGCGTGTCCCAGAACATAAATTACTAGGGTATTTAACGTTTTCTGGTAAAACTGATTTCATTGCTCTTTTGTGTATTGTTTTAGTTGATTTGAAAGTTCATGGCTTATGAATTTCTAATCTTGCCTTCTAGCTGTCTAAAAGCATGCAAATTCTAATCATATTTAGTAGCAAGAGAAAAGGTAGTAACAAAGATTTGTATGCTCCTCATAAAGCTAAAATTAAACAATGTTTGGTTCCGTTTAAAATTTCTTTAGTTTTCAATATGTTCAAGGTGCATAAAAACCAGAGTCACTCTTATGTTCTGTCAACGAATCAATTATAAACATAAACTCATAAACTCGTAATACATTAGTCGACAATTAACATTGATGTTTTTCTTTGGATTGCTTGTAATATTTCAGGTATTCAATGAAATAAACAGTCGTGATATGGAGAAGATTAATGTTCTTTGCGGAATGTTTAGCAGCTGGTTATTCATGATCATCATTATGTCAACAGTAGCTTTCCAAATTGTTATAGTTGAATTCTTGGGCACTTTTGCAGATACTGTGCCACTAAACCTGGATTTGTGGTTAGCCAGCATATTAATCGGAGCAGTAAGCTTACCCATCGCTGTTATCCTCAAGTGCATACCTGTTGACATGGCTAAGCCTACCACCATTGCCAAACATCATGATGGTTATGAACCTCTTCCTAGTGGTCCAGACCTGGCATGATAAGATTAAATTAAAGCTTTCATAGAACCTACTTGAAGCTCAACTGTGTTCCAAATGGTGCTAGCTGAATCGAAGCGACTTGATCTTACTTAAATATGGTTCCTATTACTTTTTTCAGTTCTTTGGATTATTGGAAGGTATGGATTGATTTTTTTTCCCCCCCAATATTTCATTTAATTATTTTTTAGAACTAGGCTGGAAATTGTACGTTTTGAGTAGGAAAATTTGGAGAATTTGATTCACGTTTAATTCTTTTTGGGTAATTTCATGATGGCTCTTAATTTGGTGTCTCCTAAATTTCTGCTTCAAGAAATGGCAAGTGATTCTCCTTTATTTTCTCGTCTATAAATTTGCACTGACGTAAAAATTAAGCTTCAATTGCAAATTGAATCTTCATGGTCAACAATGGTTGTTTCATGGAAATGTTGGGCATGGATTACATGTAGGCCTTATTACAAACATATAGGTCTTATTACAAACATGTAGGCCTTATTACTTCAATTTTTTAACCAAACATCGGATTAATAATTTTATTGGACTATTAGTATAAGCACATATCCGCCCAAACAAATATGGCCGTAGGTCTATGGTGGCAGAGCTAGGTTAGTGAGGGGAACAATACTAAGACAAGTTAATAGATATCCATATCCAAATAGATATCCAAACTAGTATATTTATATCTCTTTTAAAATGGGTAAATTACAAATACACATCCTAAGGTTTGATTAAATCATCAAGTCAATTAACAGTTTTTAATGGTGTTATAATTATGTTTCAATTAATAATTTAAGTAAATTTATCATTATATAGAAGAGCAATTATGAATTATTATTTTTTTTTAGTTAATTCTGTTAAATAAAATTTTTTAATAAGGGAGTTTGTAATTTTTTAAACTATAAGAGACAATCTGTATTTTAAGCAAATTTCAAGAGATGTATTTATAATTTACCCTTTTAAAATTGGGCAAAGTTCTTGAAAATGGCTTTTGTTGTTTAACATATATATCTCATTGTCATGCATCGATTGAACAACCAAGGCGACCCAACTTCCATGTCCCACACGGACTATAGTTGAGAGCAATCTTTTGGATTCGGATTGTTGAGAAAACAGAAAAAACAACTGGGTCATAGGTTACTGATTTAACTGTCAATTTAATTGAATTCAACAATTTGCCATCAACTCAATCAAAATTAAACCGTGACCTTATAATTAATAAACAAATATACTAAATAAAAAATGAGACGGTCAATCCAGGCATTGATTTTCTTTATCCACAAAGGTAAGTTTGTGCAAAATGACCACACTACTCCAATTATATATATATGATATACAAGTGTGTGGTGTAATAGATTTAGAAATACTCTCTCGTCCAAACAGAACTCCTTAATCCTCCTCCACCCTCTTATTTATCTTTTTTTCTTCTTTTCTTTTTTTTTCGCCATCCCCACTTCTTGTTGTGGCTCTTCCTTTTATATTATTCCTCAAGGACTTGAATTGATATTTGTGTCATTCCAAGTCTGACCCTGAATTGATATTTGTCCACCCTAGTAAGTAATTACAAAATAAATTAATTATCTGTTCAAGTCTGACCCGACCCTGAATTGATATTTGGATATAATTATAAACTAATTGATAAATATCCACCAAATTAGGTGGATTTGAGTGGATTATAAACTAATTGATATTTGTCTCATTTATCTTGAGACAAATATAAAAACTATTTGTCTCAAATTATGTGGTCGGGTCACTATATAAACTAATAAACTAAAAACTATTTGAGTGGATTATAAACTAATTATAAACTATTTGTCTCAAATTATGTGGTCGGGTCACTATATAATTATAAACTAATTGATATTTGTCTCATTTATTGGATTAATTTGGTGGATTTCAGTATATGTGTCATTCCAAGTCTGACCCGACCCGACCCGACATCAGGCCTAACCTAATTATCCGAAGCCCAACTATAAAAAAAGTCCAAATCTCAAATCCACCAAATTAATCCAATACATATGAACTATTAATTTTTTTTTTCTTTATCTTTTATTATTTTTCTAGTTTATTTTGTAATTAAATAATAAGATAAATTACAAATACATCATTTAAGATTTGTTTAAAATACGAATTGCTCCTGTAGTTTAAAAAATTATAAATATCCCCTTGTTAGAATTTTTTATTTAACAAAATTAATTGAAAAAATAAGATTTCTAACTACTCTCTTATACAATGATAAAATTATTTGAATTATTAATTGAAATAAATTTCTGACATCATTAAAAACTATTAATTGACTTAATTATTTATTAATAAAATTGGGCATTTGTTATGAAATTAGAAACTTGGCGGGATGCAATTTTTAGAATTATAGAGAGAAAATTGTATTATAAACAAATTTTAAAAAGTGGATTTATAATTTATTCTAAATAATATAAAATAAATTTAATATTTTATAAATGAATGGGCCGGGCCGAGCAAGGCTAAAAACTCTTTATCTCAAAGCCCAGTCCAAAAAATAAATGGGCTAAAAAATTTAGTCCAACCCAGCTCTATGAAAGAACTATTTTTTTAAAATCCTAAAAAAATCAGTTAGACTAGGTGGGTTGGACAGGCGATTGGTTCCATGGTCATCCCTACTTACCTAGTATTGTGCTTCAGGCTTTATGCATGCATGACATTGCAAGTTTGATTATCTTGAATATCATCATGACAGCTTTTTAATGTGGTGTTGGCACGCATTCGAGTTCGGCTTGAATGGGCTAATGTTTTAACCGTGGTTCTTGTTGATTTGATGAAAATATACTGGTTTTTAGTTTAAAGCAACCAGTTAGTCCAGTTCAATTTTTTAGACGTAGGTTGAGGGTTGAGGCCTTTCGATTCTATGAAAGTGACATTTATTTACCTAGCAGACTCTAAGATGCTGTTTGTTAACCCTTCTTTATAATTTAAAGGGAGCTTAGAGGGTTATTAGACTGAAACCTAAATCAATCAACGACAGTTTTTATAAAAGTCACATTCATTTGTCATTATCTAAAGTTCATCTGTGTCGATGGATCAACTGTTTGAACCAGTCAGTCTTGCATGTGCATAGTCACAGTTTTTGTAAAAGTCACATTCATTTGCAATTGTTAAAGCTCGTCCGTGGACTAGGCGCTTAATGTTACCTCTGGCTGCTGAGGCTGAAACAACGCCAATTGTTGAGGCAAGATAGTCTAAGGAAAATGTTGGAGACTTATGTACTTTTCCCTTTTTCCTTTTTTCTTTGAAATAAAATTTAAAAAAATTAAAAAGATATTTCGTAAGACATCATAGCATCTGTGAATCCTGATCTCAAAATAATCGATTGTCGATCAGATTTAACTCAACTCATAAGAATGGACCCACCACTGAAGCACCTAATAAACCTCATCACACGCCACAGAAAGAGTCAAATTTCAATCGGAATACAACACAGAATCACTGCAGAAAAAGCATGTCCCTCAGGATTTAAACCTGACTTATCCCTGTGAAAATGCAATGCGTTGTCCGCGACACCACCCATGTGGTCTCTTAATGTTTACTTTGATTTAGGAAGTGGGCAACACCGGGAAGTAAATAATTGGTTCTAATTGAATTCGAATAAAAGTCACAAATTTGACGAAGTGAGCATGTAGCTTTTACCAGTTTTGTTTCTAAAATCACAAATCCCCGTGTTAGAGAGTGGGTTGTTCGCCTTTCTAATCTAGCAGATTGTTTACATTCCACTTGGGAGACAATTTTCTTAAAAAAATGATTGAAAATTTTAAGGGAAAAAAAGAAAAAAGGAAATGATTGTTGTATATCTCCTTTTATTTAGATAGATAATGATTAAAAGAAGACATGTATACACCTTTTTATTTTATTTACTTTATATTTAAAGGGAGAGTTTAGGTATTCTAATTTTGCTAAAGGTGTTCAGAAAAAAATAAGTAATAAAACAAAACACTCAATCACATCATTTTCTTTATTTTTTGACACGTTTTTTCATAAAAAAAATTAAATAACCAATTAAAAGAGTCTATTTACAAACGGGGACTAGATTTTGATTTCTCATTAACTATCACACTTTTAGTGGAAAACAAAACTTAAATTTGTAATTTGTGTTTCTTTCCATTTCTCACCATTAATTATCTTATTAATTATCCAAACAAATGATGAGAAATCACATTCTCTCCATTTTTTTTTTCTTACCAAATCCCACAATCCAAACACTGTGTTAATCCCCACCCATAAATCTTGTCACTTTTAAGTGGTGTTTGGAAACAAACTAAAAATATATTAAAAAGAATCAATATAAAAAGTCAAATATTTCTCTTTCATTTTTTACATATCTTTTCATAAAAAAATAAATTCCCAAACACCACCTTAGTTGAAAGGAAGCAAAAAGAAAAAACAAGTTATTTTCTTTTTTTATGAATATATATATATATATATATATATAAAACAAAATAGGCTATTTTAGCCACAAAAAACAAAACATCAAATCCAACCCATAATCATTACAATCCTCTCTCACAAAAAAATCAAAAAAGCCAAAAAGTCAAAAAATCCTTCCCAAACCAGGCTAAAATAGCCCAGGCTAAAATAGCCAAAAAGTCAAAAAGCCAGCCCACTTCCCAAACGGAGGCTAAAAAGAATCAATATAAAAAGTCAAATATTTCTCTTTCATTTTTTACATATCTTTTCATAAAAAAATAAATTCCCAAACACCACCTTAGTTGAAAGGAAGCAAAAAGAAAAAAACAAATTATTTTCTTTTTTTATGAATATATATATATATATATATATATGTATGTATATCTGAGTGTGTGATTTCCACCATAATTGTTTCTTTTCAAAAAAATAAAAAGTTTACTTTTCCTCCAATCATTTCCTATATATATATATTATTACTTACTATGGAAAATTTATAGATCATGAAACTATACACATTCAAAAACAGTGTGTACTATATGCAAATTATGATATTTGTGGTATTGATTATCATAAATATCATAATTAAACATTTTTCAATAATAACTAAAAAAACTAATCATAACCAAACACCACATAAAGTGTAGATCTTTTCAATCATAACTAAAATAATATCATAATCAACATTACAATGACTCATAACGAAAAATATAATAAATCATAACCAAATATTGTAATTGTCATAAATGGAACAGATAGTACACACCCCAGGGTGTGTATTGTAGAATTTCCCAAAGTTTTGTACCCAAATGGACAAACGAAAAAGTGAATCTCAATAAGCAAAAGCACACACATGAACAAAAGACAACCCTTACCTTAGAGAAGCTCACTTGCCTTGGTGATCCGGTGTGACAAGCCATTGTAGGATGTTGTGAACAAAGACTAGGAACGCCAATGGCTGGGTAGATGGTTTACATGTACAACATTGTAGGATGTTGTCAACGCAAGGAACGCCAATGGCTGGTAGATGGTTTACAGGTACAACACTAGTAGTTACAGACACATGGCTGGTAGATGGCACCCACAATGGGCAAAGGGCTTTAGTAGCCTCCTAGCACCAACAACACTCTGTTGCGTTACTTCTATCACAAGATTAGCCACGCATATGACAGAAGCTAGCCTTCAAGATAGAACTTACTTGTTTTGTTGCCCCCAATACTAGGACTAACTTCTTATACCAAGCATAGTTCTAGCCTTTCATAATCATTCACCATTTTTGTTATGTGTAAGATTTTGTGAAAGAAAGGCCACGTCACCAACTACCATTCAACAAATCCCAAAAAGACACTAATCAAAACAATTTTGGTGGGTGAATAAAATTGTATTCCGAACTTACTACCATTCGGCCTTCCTGTGAAGGTTATGAGATTTACAAGCAACTTTGAAAAGACGTTGAACCTATTGTGCTTCAGTGAAATATTCAACACTAGATACGAACCAATCATTCAACCAGTTTTGTCACCAAGGCTCAAAACAACAAAAGCTGAAAAGCTCAAGTTTGACTACCATAGCCACACATTTGCAACCTCCATACAACAATTCACTCAGAAACTTACCACCTGTAACTTCCCAAGATAACCTAGGATGACAAGAACAAAAATTATAGAGCTAAATTTTGACAGACTAAACCCTTGCGACCTTGATGCATTCACATGAAGAAACTATTGCTAATTTCAGGATCTAATGAGACGAGGGGTCAGCATTTCTTCGTACAAATAGTTTGCCTATATCTTCCGTGACAATGTTGCTCCTGCCAAATTGAATTTAAAATCATTAGAAATAACATCATTGCCTCCTCAATAAAACTGAAGCAGCATATTAAAAAAAAAAATAATTAATTTAATGCTGCAACCCCAAGCAATAAAGGGAAATTGACAAGCATAGAAATGCCTGAGAATGAACTGTGGCCATGTTTAGCACATGATGTCCAGACTGAATTATCATGTTCCAAGTCATTTGCCGGATAGCATGTGAACCCAGTACTTGATGAAATATTAGCTACCACAACCTCAAGTGTGAAGCAACTTTGAAATCATTATTTTTGCATGGGTTGGATTGAAGGACACCAGAGATTTTTAACCACGGTTAACTTACCCTGTTGTTTCAAGACAAATTATTGATATTATTTCATACAGTAGACTTTCCATTGAAGTAGCAGAATTCTAAGGGTTTCCTTTGAAAAGTGGCTTTTTTAGTAGCTTTTTGACTTTTTAGCTAAAATATGCGGTGAAAAAAGTTGTAGTGTTATGGGAATGGTTTTTTGGCTTTTTACAAAAAGAAGTGCAAAAAGTAGAGAGAAGGGAAGGAATCTTTGACTTTTTTTATATGGCTTTTTGGCTTTTTTAGTGTTTTTTTGGCTAAAACCTTTGCATACCAAACGAACCCTTATCAAGAAGAATGAATAGTTATCTAACCATTTGGTACCAACCAAAATACACAGAATACCACACATGTCTAAAAGCTACTATATTTATTAGAATTCTGGAACATAATGTTGGAATATGGGAATCCCATATATTATGTAATTACAGGATTTTAGGAATACTTTTTTATATTTGATTTTATTATTATTCTACCTTCCTAAATTGTAACCTCCTCAATTCAATATATATATACAAAGCTAATCATACATTGTGATTAAGCCATTCAATTATATTCTTCTTCTTAGTATCAGAGCCAAACCCTAGGCACCCACCACCCTTCTCTTCTATTTCCGGCAGCCCAAAACCACCTAGCCAGCCGCCTAAATCACCTACCCAACCACCCGACAACCCTTCTTTTTCCCTCCACCCAGCCGAACGCCTTTCTTCTTCTTTCTCAACCCCGACAGCCCTTCCTCTTCCTTCTCAGCTCCTTGGCAGTCCCTCCTCAGTCGCAGCTTCCTTAGGTGCCGACTACACCCTCCCTACCTTGGGTCTAGTGTGGCTTTCCCTCCTGGGTGTTTTTCTTCTCTCTTTACCCTTCTAGGGTTCATGTGTTGAAGTGATAAGCACTTTCTAGGTTGTTTTTATGTTGTGTTGGGCTACCGGTGTGTTCAGTAGCGTTTATAGTACCCCTTTTTTTTTTCGGCCTTTGCTTGTGATTTTGCTGGTTGTCTGCTTCGTTGTGACTGTTATCATGACTGACTCCACCATTTCTAGTAGGACTGATGCACCTCTTATTCTTCGTAAACCGATTGGGTCTGATTTTTCCCTCTCTCAACAAGCTCCGGCTCATTGTATTACGAGTCTCTTGTCGAATGGGAAGAATTTTGCTGCATGCAGTCGTTCCCTCAAATTGTATTTGGGGGGCAAAGTCAAGTCTCATTGGCTCCTTATGACTGAAACCCAACCTCCTGATGATGAACCTAAGAGTGGGCAGTGGGATATTGATAACTGTATTATCTTGGGCTGGATGTTTAACTCTATGGAAGATCAGATTTATCACATGTTCATGTATTGTGACACAGTTTCTCATATGTGGAAGGCTTTTACTCCAATGTATGCTCATGCTCACAATGATGCTCACATCTTTAAGGTTTATCAGGACATCTCTCATGCTTCTCAAATAGATTTGGGATTTTCAATTGCAAAGTTCTCATACCAAATATATTATCAAATTATATAGAAAATAAAACCTGAAATAACGTAATTTGTTTGGTTTTGAAACCAAACCAAAACATATATGGAGAAGCAAAAAACTTATGAATAGATTGTATAAATCTGAAACAGAAAACAATTTGATTGAGACTTGTGTTAGACACAATGTCCTTAAGACAAATTCGTCCCCCACTATGGTACTTACGAGTTTTATTGAACATTCGTCTCCTAGGATAAAACAATCAAACCTTACAAAAGCAATACTACCACTGCAAATCTGGCGAACCTTATTGTACAAAATTCTTTTATAGAAAAGGAAAAAGTGCCAAAAGGAAAGAAACACAAGATGAATCTTCTCCTTATGAATGCAACAGGGGCCTGCTTATATAAGCAAATTGGCGACTCTTCGAATGGTCATAATGACTTTTCAATGAAGAGACACAATTCTTTCATGGAATAGGTGCAACAGAACAGACATGACTATTCTCACAAATGGATCCGAATTTGGTGTCAGATCTGGTTCAATTTTGACCAAAATAAATAACGAATTTATTTAAATAACAAAATTAATTTTAATTTAAATAAATTGTCTTAAAACCATATTCAAATGTGCATTTTGGAGACGATTTCTCTTAAAACCATATTCAAATGTGCACTTTAGAGTAAATTTCTCATCACCTATTAATGGTTTCTAAACCATTTTTCAACAAGAAATGCAAGAGATAACTGGGTTATACTAATTGCCAACTTGGGAATCTTGAACTTGACTTGAATCAGAATATGCCTTGGGAGAATAAAAATCTTATACTAACATTTTAATTAAGATGTTATCACTTATCTAGGTAGGGATGGCAATCTAACCCACCTCGCCCCAATAGGGGTGAGTGCCCACCTTTTTTCGGGGTTCGAATCAAGTTCAAGGCTGTCAATTTAAAAAACGGTTTGGGGGCAGGTCGAGTCAATATTATATACCCCATTTTTTATATAGTTTTACAATTTTACCCCTCAATTTTACAATTACCACTTATAAAGTGTTGAGAAGTACGAGGAAAATTTTGTATATTAACTATATACAAATACCCACTAGACTAAAAAAAAAATTCTATAGAACGACTATTAGACCAACAATGTTGTATGGGATAGAATGTTGGGCAACTAAAAAACAACATATAAATAAGATAAGTATTGTTGAAATGAAGATATTAAGGTGGATGTGTGGAAAACTAGAAAAGATAGAATTAGGAATAAGTATATTTGTGAATGTGTAGGACTAACACCAATAGAAGATAAGTTGAGAGAGAATAGGTTGAGATGGTTTGGTTATATACTACGGAGACCAACAGAGCTAATAGTGAGGAGATGCAATACAGTTACAATAGATGGAAATGCTAGAGGAATGGGCAGACCTAGATTGACACGGGATAATATAGTAAACAGAGATATGAATCTCCTTAATTTGACTAATCAAGTAGCCCTTGATAGAGCCAAATGGAGAAAAAGGATTCAGGTAGCCGATCCCATTTGATGGGACTTGAGGCTTGGTTTGGTTGGTTGGTTGGTTGGTAACTATATACGAAACCGTACAAAAGAGCCTACATATAGAGACCAGAGGTATAGTAGTGTACAAGAAAACCAAATACAGAAATACACTAAAATATGGAATGAAATATTATGTACATTAATATCCCCCCTCAAATTCAAGATAGTAAGGTAGAGATCAACTTGAGTTCAGAAAGAAAATCATGAAAGCGTCTTATAGGGTGCCTTGGTAAAAATATTTGTAGTGTGAGCAATTTAAGGGGGCCTAAAAGGACTCAAATAGTGCCACAAACAACATGTTGATGCACAAAATGACAATCAATCTCTTTTGTTGTGAGCAATGTGGACAGCACTTTGATTGTCACAAAAAAGAACAATATTTGTGAAATGTGTAATTCCCGTATCCTCCAACAACCAATGAAAGCCAGATGAGTTTTTGGGCGGTATCAGTAAGAGCGCAAACTCCTGCCTCTATACTAGAACGCACAATGACAATTTGCTTCTTACTACGCCAAGCAATAAAAGAATCTCCTAAGTAGCAAAAACCAATAGTAGAACATCAATTAGTAGGGTCATCCGTACAAAACATCAGAATAAGCAGAGTTCAAGAGAAAAATGTGTTGAAAAATGAAGACAGTGAAAAAAAGTCCCTATGATGTAGTAAAGAATACAAAGTACTGCAGCAAAATGAGTAGAGCGAGGCAACAAGAATTGACTGACCATATGAATAACATAAGAAATATTAGGTCGAGTAACAATGAGATAGACAACACTACCAACCATCAATAAAGTGTGGCATCATTGAGTGGTGTGCCATCCAAAGGAGTGAGCCTAACATTAGGCTCAAGAGCAGAAGAAGCAGTCATTGTATCAGTGAGACCAGCATGAGCAAGCAAATCAGCTACAAACTTGGCCTAGGAGAGATAGTAACCATCTAAAGTGCAAGAGATATCTTTCATCTTAAAATGTCGACTAAGAGATGTCATGAGATTAGAAATACCAGTTAGATTATCCCTAGTAATAATCAGATCAATATAGAGAAAAGGACAGGGTCATGCCCAAACTTGCAAGTAAATAAAGAAAAATCACGAGGACTGAAGGTAAATCTGAAATATTCAAAATTAGCACTAAACTAGGCAAACCACGCCCGAGGAGCCTGTTTAGGATCGTAAAGAGTTTAATGAAGTTTGCAAACTTTCTATGGAGGATGAGTATACCTTAGAGGAGGGTTGCATGTACACTTCTCTAATATCTCATTAAGAAATGCATTTTTTGATGTCCATATGATAGAGTCCCACTTTTGAACTACAACAAAGAAGTAACTATGAACAGAGGTTAGACAAGCAACTTGGGCAGAAGTCTGTGAGTTTTGAGAGGGGAAAAGTTAAGGTATGAGTGGTATCTCATACACTTTTATATTAAATCATAAACATACGTTAAGGCCTAAATAAAGGTCTATTACAGCAAATAAAGATACTGAATAAGAATAAAATAGGAAATATCCTAACACATTCTAACACTCCCCCTCACGCTGGTGCAAAGATATCTCTCATGCCCAGCCTGTTGAGAATGTCACGAAATGGTTTAGTCCTTAATTCTTTGGTAAGAACATCAGGCAGTTGATCCCCAGACCGCACGAATGGCGTATATATAGTGCCACTAGTAAGTTTTTCCTTGATAAAATGCCGATCAATCTCCACATGCTTAGTCCTATCATGCTGAATCGGATTGTGGGCTATACTGATGGCAGCCTTATTGTCACAGTATAGCCTCATAGAATCTGTCTGATGAATCCCCAAATCCCGCAAGAACAATCGAATCCATAAAAGCTCACACACACCTTGAGCCATAGCTCTGAATTCGGCCTCTACACTAGATCTCACAACAACATTTTGTTTCTTGCTTCTCCAAATAACTATATTTCCTCCGACAAAAGTACGATAGCCAGAGGTGGATCTTCTATCAGTTACTAATCCAGCCCAAAAGATGACCATACTTTGAGAAATAAAGACCCTTTCCCGGAGAAGATTTCAAGTACCTCAAAATCCGCATAACCGCCTCTAAGTGAGTTTCACGTGGAGCATGCATAAACTGACTAACTATACTCACTGCAATAGCAACATCAGGACGCAAATGGGATAGGTAAATAAGCTTACCCACTAGTCTTTGGTATCTCTCCCTGTCTACAGGCTCGCCTTTTGGATCCTCACTAAGCTTTATTACGGGCTCTAGTGGTGTATTGTGACTTTACTTACAAGCATTCCCGTTTCCTTTAGCAGATCAAGCAGATACTTTCGTTGACATATGAAGATGCCATCTTTGGACTGAATAACCTCAATCCCTAAAAAGTACTTCAAGCTGCCTATGTCTTTGATTTCAAACTCATTAGCCAAATACTCCTTTAACCGAGGAACCTCCTCAACATCATCCCCTATGAGTACAATATCATCCACATAGACAATAAGAGTTGTCGTCTTACCATGTAAGGAGTGTTTCACAAACAAAGTATGATCAGCTTGACTCTGTTTGAAACCATATCTCAGCATGGCCTGAGTAAACTTCTCAAACTAAACCCTAGGAAACTGCTTAAGGCCATAAAATGACTTGCGTACTCGGCACATCTTTCCTTTGGTTTTAACATCCTCAAAACCTGGGGGAATGTCCATGTACACTTCTTCTTCCAGATCTCCATGGAGGAAAGCATTTTTCACATCAAATTGATGGAGAGGCCAGTCAAGATTAGAGGCAAGGGAGAGAAGGACTCTGACAGAGTTCATCTTAGCAACAGATACAAATGTCTCCTGGTAATCTACTCCATAAGTCTGAGTAAAGCCCTTGACTACCACTCTGGCCTTGTAACGTTCAATTAAACCATCGGCTTTGTGCTTCAAAGTGTACACCCACTTACATCCAACAGGTCGTTTGCCCTTAGGTAACGCAACCAATCCCAAGTGCCATTTTTAACAAGAGCTCTCCTCTTCTCCATCATGGCATGCTTCTACTCGAGTAGAAAGAGCACCCTGAAAATTAGAAAGAAGACTCACAGAAGAAACTTTAGACAAAAAAACTGTATAGAAAGAAGACAGATTAGTGTAGGAGACAAAATGAGAAATAGGATGTTGAGTACAAGACCTAAAACCCCTTCCTTTTAGCAATGGGAACATCTAGATCAAAAAAATTCAAAAAGGATTGAGTTACCTAGAGGTTCATCAAAAGGAGAGGATTCTGGACACTCATCAGAAGGAGAAGATAGTAGTGGAAAACCCGAATTGGTCTCTTGTACCCAAGTAACGTTTTGTCTATCCTTATTCCTGACATACACTTTGCAGTCTTTCACTGCGGATTGAGAGTCAACATTCTCAATAGTTGGGTCACCAGTAATAATAGTCTCAACAGTCTCAATAGCTAATGCTAGTGACACAGGAGTCTCAGTAGCTGATAGTAGTGATACAGGAGTCGCTTCACACCAAGGCTCCTCCTAAAGAGATGACTGGTACACCAGGGAGGACATGAAGTAGGACTGAGATTCAAAGAAAGACACATCCATGAAGACAAACCATTTCTGAGAGGGGCGATGACAACACTTGTAGCCTTTTTGGGTGGCGGAGTAACCCAAGAAGACACACCGAAAAGACCGAGGATCCAACTTACTACAGGTAAGAATGGTTATGAACAAACACACACACCCAAAGATTTTGGGAGGAATGGAGAAGACAAAAGATTGGAATCCGAACAAAACTTGAAGAGGAGTTTGTTTGTGAAGAACCTGGGTAGGAAGACGATTGATGAGGAAGGCGGCAGTGAAAACCGCTTCCTCCCAATATGATCGAGGAACCCGCATTTCAAAGGACAAACAACGCACAATATCAAGAAGATGCCGGTTTTTACACTCGGTAACACCATTCTGTTGAGGGGTATTGGTACAAGAAGTTTGATAAATAATATCATAAAGTCATGTTTGATTCACAAGACTAATAGTGAAATATTAATAATCCTATTAAATTAGTGTGGTATTCATTATCCAATTGGATTAATATCCATTGGATTAATAATCCCACCCCTACCCCATTACTAATAATCTCACAAATTTGTTGGATTAATTATCCATTGGATTAATAATCCTAAACCAAAATGTTAAAATAAACATAGGATAATTGGGCCCACGGATTAATAATCTCAATCCCATGCTCTAATCCACCCAATCAAACATGCCATAAGTGGCAAAATAGCTGGCAAGGCCAGAGTCAATGTATTTCCCCCCATTATCAGAACGCAAAATTTAGACAACTGCCCCAAACTGAGTGCAAATCATTAGACAAAAATTTTGAAATACAAAAAAAACCTCACATTTGTCCTTCATAAGATACACCCAAGTGGTCTTAGAACAATCATCAGTGAAGGTGACAAACCATCTTTGACCCGTTAAAGACACAAAACGAGAGGGACCCCATACATCAGAATGAATCAAAGAAAAATGAACTAAACTTTTATTAATAGAAGGAGCAAAAGAAACTCTGTGTTGTTTGCCAAGTTGACACGACTCACAGTGAAACTTAGAAACATTATTTTTCAAAAAAAATAGAGGGACAAAGACGCTTAAGTAACAAAAAAAATAGATGCCCAAGACCGCGGTGCCACAGCCAGATGTCTTCCTTAGTAGATGGAAACTGGATGGATAAATGAGCCAGCTTGTCTGCTTGATCCAGGATATAGAGACCATTTTCGTTTCTACCACTACCAACCATCTTCCTCGTGATAAGGTCCTGAAACAGATAATGATCATGAAAAAAGATCACACTACAATTTAAGTCCCGAGTAATACGACTCAAAGATAAAAGATTAACACTAAAATTGGGAACATGTAAAACAGAAAATAAAGGAAGAGAAGCAGTGGTATGAATTAAACCTTTTTCAAACAGAGAAGAAATAGTACCATCAGCAATTCTTTATCCTGTCCTAAAGAAGGGGTATACATGGAGAACAAATAAGAAGACCCAGACATGTGGTCGGAAGCACCAGAATCAATAATCCAAAGCAATGTTTGATGAGAGAGGAAAGCACTTGTAGAAGAGGCTAAATTATCTGAATGGGCAATGTTACCTAAAGATGAACTAGATGCCCGACCGTCTAGCAAGTAGCGAAGAGCAACCTCCAACTTAGGAGTAGAAAACCCATAGATATCAGCAGATGGATTAACTGGAGCGGTGGACTGTGACGCAACTGTATCAAAATGATGGGCTCAAGCATTGGGCCATCGGCCTCAAGACTGACCAAAGCGACCCCCTCGAGAACCAGAACGGTCTCCACGACCCCCAGATGGCTACCCATGCAACTTCCAACAAGTCTCACGAGTGTGGCGAGGGTGACGACAAAAATCACAAAAGAGGGTATCCTTCTCAGAAGGAGGACGGGAACCACGATCCCCATCTCGAGTGGGGGCAGAAATCAAGGCTAAACCGATCAAAAGAGGCAGCCAGAAGCAGAGCAGAATGACAACTCTCCTTATTCTGCACATAAGCAAACGCTTCTTGGAGAGATGGAAGTGCATCCATACCAAGCACATGACTCCGAACAGGATCAAATTCCACATTCAAACCTTTCAAGAACTTGAAGACCCACACTTGTTCAACAAATTTCCGGAAACCAGCAGAATCAGTGGGACAGCCTGGCTTGTAGTCCTGAAGATGATCAAGTCTCTTCCACCCATTGCTAAATAAAGTAAAATACTGGAGAATAGTCATCTCACCCTGAACAACCAGTCAATAAAGCGTCGCAACTCAAAAGTCTGTGAGAAATTGCCTTTGTAAGAATACGTAGCGGCCACAGCCTCCCAAATATCCTGTGTTGTGTCCATAGACAAGTAACCCTCACCAATCTCCAGAACCACGGAGTGTATCAACCAGCCCATGATAAGAGAATTAGTAATCTCCCACTAATCATAACCTGCATCGGTGATACTGAGAGCCTGAACGCGCCCATCGCCATATCCCATCTTCCCTTTGCTCTTCAAAAATATAGTCAAACTCTGCGACCATACTAGATAGTTCTGACCATTAAAGAGAGGTGGTGATTTTCTGGCCAGGGTGGAGAGAATCGGTCATAGTAGTAGTCAAAACAGGACTCGGACCCTGAGTAGCAGGCAGCGAAGTAATAGACTCACTAGTCAATTCTGCCATGAAGACTTTGCTACGGAACCCTCACAAACAAACCCTAGGTGAATCACAAACCCGGAAGATGGGAGAATACACCAATGAATTTAAAATGAACGAATTTAAGAGAACCTTTTTTTTTCCCTTTTTTTATGTATCTTTTTTTTTTTTTTTTTTTACGAAGACAGAGAGATGAGATGAAAGAGTTGGGTCAGTGCATACCCTGGGTCTCCAAGCCAACCGACAGATCAGGGCTGGAGAAGGAAGGCTCCGACAAACCCTAGGGTGCTGTTGAAGCCCTAGGGGCTGCACCTAGGACTTTGACAGGGTTGTGGCTTCGACTAGGGCTATCGGAGCCCTAAGTGGCTTCGGTCGGGGTTGTTGGAGCCCTAGGAAGGGGCGCCTGGTGCTGACGAAGCCCTAAGGGGGGGCTGTGGCTATGGTGGTAGTGCTATAGGCTTGTGGCTAGGGGTTTTTTTTTTTTTTCTCTTTATTTTTAGAGTGGCTTTGATACCATGTGAGTTTTGAGAAGAGGAGTTAAGGTATGAGATACCCTTTTATATTAAATCATAAACATAAGTAATGGCCTAAATAAAGGCCCATTATAGCAAATAAAGATACTGAATAAGAATAAAATAGGAAATATCCTAACACATTCTAACAAAGTCTCCGCATGGTCAATACCATGCTCCTATGTAAAGACCTTTAACAAACCAAATGGGCTTTATAGAATTCAACAATTCCATCAAAACGAGTCTTGATTTTGTAAACCCACTTGCAGCCAATAGCAGTCTTGTCAAGAGGGAGATCCACCAAATCACAAATATGAGTGTCATTTAATGACCTCTTTTCTTCTGTCATTGCTTGCTTCAATAAAGGGTTAGAACGGGCCTCACAGTTAGGATGAGCCTCGAACTGGTAAAGAATAGAAAAAAAGCAATGATAATCACGAAGATGAACATGAAGTTCTCTTACCCGATTAGAGCAATGAAGAGGTGGATTAGTAGTGTGACCATTGGTCTGAGAAAATGATGCAAGAGACTCAAGAGAATGAGAGACGGGAGGATCATTAGCAGGACCATTAGATAGAGCCACACCCAGGAGAGACCATACTTGTGAGCTCATAGGAAAAGTTTGTATCAAAATCATCATGAAACAACTCCATAAAATGAACAATAAGGAAAGATGAAGTAGAGATAGATGGTAAATGGGACATGGAGGCGAACATCTTGTGTTCCCAAAAGATGACATGGCAGGATATGCGAACACATTTAGAGTAGGGATCGTAGGCCCAACATCTATAACCTTTATGTTTGATTCCATGTCCCATGAAATAACAAAGACAACTCAATATGCTCAGGGGGTTGACATAAGACAAAACAAGCACATTCAAAAACTCTGAGCGCACTATATTTAGGAGCACCATAGAAGCGTTCATATAGGGGGCTAATTGCCAATGATGGGAGAGAGAGAACACAATTGACAATATAGATGGCAATAAGAGCGGCATCCCCTAAAAAATGCTCATGACAAGAGACATAAGAAGAGCACGAAATGTCTAGAATATTGTTATGTTTACGTTCAACAAGCCAATTTTGTTGAGACGTTCTAGGACAAGAATAATGAGAGAGGATACTATTTTGGCAAATAAATTTGAGAGACTTCTGTTTGATGAAACTTCTATTTGAAAGGCTTTGATGATATGAGAAAATGGAGTTTGAACCATTGTTGAAAAATCATAGCAAATTTGTGGTAACTCAAATCAATTGGCATGACATATAACCAAGTGAAACGAGAATATTCATCAATGAAGACAACAAAGTATTTAGACCTCCCCATAGTAGTGTTGGGAGGTCCCAAATGTCAAAGTGAACTACGTCAAATGAAATAAATAGAATCACATAGATAGAAAGGTAACAGTTTGTTTGTTTAGCACTATGTTACCCAGAACGTGGATTGTTTCGGTACGTGGAATGGAAACGGGAATGCGGTACGCCACATGCTCTAAACTGTGTTACGATATAGGGGTAGGCTTGTATTGCTTACACTAAGAATTTAACAATTCCACGTCCAATAAAGTGTCGGTTTTTTTTTTTCCAAATTAATTGTATGAAAATAAATGTTTATGAACATTACGTCTCATTTTTTATATTGCCATGTTATTTTAATTCATTATATTTGAATTTATTTTTTTTCTCTACTAAGAAAACCTTAAGGAAATATAGGAACAAACTTTTGGGATTGTTCGAATCACCAAATTTACTATTTTGGAACAAAAGTGTACAATGTTTTGGAACATGCGTTCCAAAACATAATTCATTAAGGTATTAACATTTTCTGGTAACACTGGTTTAGCAAGTTGACAAGGAAGACAATCAATGTGCTCATCTTGAACAAACCCTAACTAACCATTAGAAATTAAAGTGTATAAACAACCAAAAGAGATGTGACCTAATCGAGAATGCCAAATACTCATAAAAGTAGAGGAAGTAGAAATAGAAGAAAATGGAGAATGACATTATTGCCAATACATTATCCTCGTTCTGTTCCAAATTATAATCTCTAATGAAAAATATAGCCCCATGAGCAAAAGCTCCTGTTATGATAAACCCTGCGATGTATTGGTGATGCGTATATAACGCAGCTTGAGTAGTAAAGTCTAGTGATATGAATGCATAAGCAGGTAAAGAGTACATGTGTTGAGCTACCAGGGAAGCAATAACCCCTAAAGAAGCTAGAGCAAGACCTAATTGAAAATGAATTGAATTATTGATTGTGTCATAAAGACCTTTATGGCCACGTCATCCAAGTCACCGGAGAAGTAAAAGAATTATCAGACACAACAAACTGCACTAATGAAGAGAACTGAGAAGGAACGTGAACATTGATGAGCTCGTATGTCCCCCCTCCCATTGCCATCCTTATATGTATATAATTGCTAAGACTGCAATCTAAATCCACATGAGTGTACTGAAAATTTGATAGCTATCCAATACATAGACCAAATAGAAAGCAGGAAATGACATTTAAATATTATTGATGAAAATATTAGACAAATCACAGCTCACCTTCCGCTAAGCTGGGGTGGAACTAGCAGACCACCAACTGTATCTTGAACATTCCTTGAATTGGGCAAGGCCCCCCTCGGAACTTTACCACGGGGTACAGAAGAAGCTAATTCACTTGCTTCTCTTTTGCGTGATTCACATTCAGCCATTGCAGCTGCAACTCGAGAAGAGTGGTCATAACCACTCACCAGAGAAGATGACATATGAGTAGCATTTAAAAGGAGAGAGGCATCAGGAAGCTTCAAAACAGAAGGCTCTGACATATAAGAGCTTCCAGGTGGTTCATTTGAGGATTTCCTACATATATATAAATAAATAAATAATGTAATTTAACAAAGAAGAAGAAAGCATTACATGACCCCAGAGTGTTTAATTTAACAGAATATTACTAGATGTTTATCTTCATATTTCACCCCCCTCATCTAAACAAGTTAAAATAAAACCAATAAGAAAGAATAAAAACAAGATTAAAGCCTTCTATTAAGCTGTCCTAGAAAATGTCTTCCAGTGCCCGCATTCAATACAGTTCAGTTCACCAACCGTTCATTAACAAATAACAAACAGCCTTTTGTAACAAAAAATTAACTATTTATTATCAGCTACAGTAAACAACCCTACTATACTAATCTGTCTTTAAGTAATAATATAAAAAATGGAATGTCAGAAGTAAAAGAAAACAATGCAGTCTACTCCTTCCAATCACATGCACAAGCACAGGACTTGCTTTGGTGTGAGTCCCCATCCTGAAATTTATGAATATACACATCCCCCCCCAAGGTTCCACAAGTTTCCTAAACACCCCAAATTGGCCCATACAATTTTTTTCTCGGTACCGGTACAAGCATATGTATCCAAATCAGAGGCTCAAAACATCGTTACATAACGACAATATTTTAAGCCATACTGTCAAGTATGAGTATGTGTCTCAAGTGTCAAAAGTGTCAAGTGCATTTAACTCTTCATATTCAAGTACATTATAAAACAACTATATTTCATATTACTTAGATAATTCTTAATCTTTGTGAGATAAAATGGAGTTACAAACTAACAAAATTTTTTAAATGGGAGTCTTACACATTGTTATATAGTAAACTTGACTATTTAGGGATACTTAATGGGTGCATGTCCAACAAAGCATGTTGAACACATATCCCCTACCAAGGGTGGGCAAACGACCACAAAGGGAAGAGTTCAATTTTGGCTGTAAAAATAGTCAACTCTACGAGATTGGTTCAGTTCTCATGTTAGTCTCAAGCTAACCAGAGAACCATGTCTATATGTTACAAACAAAAAGAAAAAATTATATCGCATACAATTCCACTCAATAAGCACTTCCTATTTTTCTTCTAAGTGGTATTCTTATAGTTATATGAAGATTTTACTCTGCTAACTATTTTTTGAGAATTTCATTTTTGTCATGAGCATTTATTATAATTTTAAATTATTGTGGAAGCGCGATTCCAATGCGAACCAACCTGAGTTTATTCGGGTCGGGTTGCTTCAATTCCAAGTGGTGATTGGTTCGCTTCTAAGTCCAAAGATTTAGAACAAACCAAATTGGATGCAATTATGGGTTTAGACTGTAAACCGACTCATGAATTTAGAAGAATCCATGTAACACAATTCATTACCCAGAACACACTATATTTCATCTTGCAATGCAACATCAATCTATAACAAATTTTCCCCTCTTCAAATTATCGTTAGCAAATAAGTTCACCACCTTGGGTGGTGGGGGCAAGGGGATTTAAATGCCAAATCCTATTCCAAGGAAAATGAACTCCTCCTCCAATCAACTTCCAATAAAAGGAAGACACCAAAAACAAGTAGTTCTTGGCCCCTTTCCAAATGAGAACATCCTCTCCACCCATCTTTGGACCAACATATCTTGACCCCAATAAACTCCACCTCCCAGTCCTAAAAGAGTCTCCGAAAAAAAAAAAAAAAAAGAAAAAAACAGATATCCAAACTACACTAGTAGGGGATGAAGTCCAATACTCTACCAATGAGCCCTTTGAATTAGTCATCATCCCAAAGAGATCCAAAAAAAAAAAACCCTTTCCTCAAAGGCCTTTATCCAAACGCGAGGTCATGTCAAAGTTGCAAAGGGAAAAAAATCCTCAGTGCTCATATAATGCTTTTCCAAATACCCACATCATGCGACCCCCAAACCACCACCACCAAACGTCATGCCCATATTTACCACAAACAAACCTAATCCAAAAGCTTTATTTCCACAAGAAACCTTCATAACCATTTTCCTAACAAAACACTTTTAAACATCTCTAACTTATGAATTCCCAAACAATCCCACCTCCCTCTCTTTTCAAGGGTAAACACCCAATCAACTAGACAATACTTAAAGTCCTCTCCAAGATCACTCCACAAAAAATACTCCTTGCCACCAAGACAAGAATAGTGAAGGTAGAGAGGAAATATGTTGGGAAATGAGATATAGTAATCTTAAAAGGAGTCAATCTACCCCCTTAGATACATACCACCTCTTCTATATAACTAACCTTTTCTCTGAACTTTCCACTACTATATCCCAAACTACTTTGTTCTTGAAGAAAAAACCCAACAAAAGCCCCAAACAAGTCATTACCATTGGCAGGGATCTTGCCCTACATCCCAAGTTGGCTACCAAGATCTGCACATCCGTTATTTCCTCAACTGGAATGATGTCACTACTTGCAAGATTGATCCTAACGCCTAAATTTGTCTCAAAGCATAGTAACACACATCTTAGAACTCTTATCTCTTCCAAACCTGCCCTACAAAATATAATCCCAATCCCCAACTTGAAATACTATCACCTAGCCATCAATAAGAAGATTCTAGATCACTCGACTAAAGATCTCCATAACAAGGATGATGAGAAATGGAGAGATCTGTTACATGGTCTTGAGTAAAACTCAACCCCAAAAGCTAACTATTAAGGTAAGGGTGCCTTCACGCTTATATGCTTAACATTACTTTAGTAATCAGGTGATGTGAGACTTCACTTCATAGAATCACCCTACCTCAAACTTGTAGAACTTTCAAAAAAATCTTTAACATCTACATTCACAATGATAGAAGAAATGAAAATTGAATCCACCTACACCACCACTCCCTAAACTTCATATTCTCAAATAAATATATAAAGTGTCAACTCCCAACAAACATGATCATTGGCCTTCTCGACATCTAGCATGCAGAAACCCCAAAACATTGTTGTTTAGCCTTGAATCAAAACATTCATTAGCCATCAAAACAACATCAATCAAAAATCTACCTTTGTCTAAAAAAAACATTCTCAGACTCCGAAATGAATTGCCCTATCACATTCCTCAATATCAAAACTAACACTTTCACAATGATTTTATACATACTTCCAATAAAAATAATAGGCCTATAATCTCGGATGCCATTGCATCCCCTTCTTTGGCACAAAACCAATGAAAGAGGCTTTCATGCTTCTCTCGAATTCACCTATCTCAAAATAAATAAATAAATAATAATGATAATAAATATATAAAAACATGCATCCTTGCCATCATATCACCTTTCACCACACACCAGTAGTAATCCATTACAAAACCCATCCAATCCCCGAGCTTTATCACTATTGAGACTCCTCAACACCTCAAGTACTTCCTAATCTTTGAATGCTCTCTCAAACCAATTTATGTCATCCTTTTGAATAGAACTCAACTCCAAATCATAATCAAATGTGAAAGAGAAAATAATTGGTTATTTGTAAATTGTAATACTTTCTTTTTTTCTATTCTAGATTGTTTACCACCTAAAAGGGAAAATGTGAAACAAATAATTCAATTAATGAGTAATCTTCCCAATTTATTAAAGAATTGTTGATTTGACTTATCAAGTTTAGCAAGTGACTGCCCTTGCCCCCTCCCAAATAAAATGTAACCCATAACTCCTCCCTATTATGGAGGAGAACATGGCCATTTCTTGTTATGGGCCTCGTTACTTCCTTCAGAAGTGATCAGCTAATGTTTCATACATAATACAAAGCGAAACCAACCAAATCTAATATACAGTCCCTATATCCTTTCAAGGATGCCTTTATCGTGTCTTGAAAAAAATTTACCATGAAATAAACCAGACAAACACTAAACCATGTAACTTAATCGTTTCTAACAGGTCTAATGCATGGCCTTGCGGATCAAGTCTAAACATTTTAAAAATCACATCCCTTGGATACTGCTTTCTAAGTTTAGTGCATGGGAAAGACAAGTATCTACTACAGTGACCAAAAAAGAGAGAGGCTAGGTGTAGAACATGAAACTTCAAATTGTTAGCCTAACATCACATCATGTGCTTCTTAGTCATCGAAAGGCTAGGTTAGAACTCCGTTGGCATAACTTTTACAGTAGGTACTTTCTAAATAACTTTTACAGTATTTCCTATCCAAAATGTTTTTCAAATTATAACAGACATGGTTAAGCATTGTTAATTTTAACATTATGCAAAATTTCCAAAGTTTCGTGGCCCATTTTATTCTCTCATAAACGATAATTGGGCCATTTTAGAATTAGACTGACCACAAATTAGATAATTAGATGCTCTTCACCATAAAGTGGAACACCTCTAAGATCAATAACTCTAACTTTCCTTAGCAAAAATAAAAATTGATCATTTCTTTACATCATAGAATTACATATAATAGAAAATTACGAGATTTAAAATCTGTTCTATTTGACGCCAACATAAATTTTTGAATGAACTCAATCACAAATTCGTTCGTTTAAAATAAGTTAATGCTAAATGGAATAATTCAATTCCATAACTATAAGGGCCTTAATATAAATCACAAATAGAAATTTCAATTCAACAACTGTAAAGGCCTTGATTATTATAGCATTTAAGTTGTTTGAGTTCCCCAAAATTAGAAAATTGATTCAAACTAAAAGTAATATCCAAAGTCATAATTTTTACATTATTTCTTGGCAACCAAACATGGCAATAAAAGGAACCAAGAAAACCTAGATTAAGCTTGAGCGTGTAGAGTAGATTGAAAGGAAAATTTAGAGGAAAATGTGAATTATTACTGTGTTTGAGGAGGCAGTGGAGTTGGTTGATCGTGCTTTGGAACTTGAGATTCGTCTTTTGGGGCTTCAAAGTTTTCTCTCTCTTCTTCTTTAATCTCTGCTTCGTCTTCGTCTGAAGAAGCGTAGTCCACCAGCGACATCTCTACTGGTCGGGCTCGGGCCGAGTTCACATGAAAGAATCCTATATAAATGCCAATGGGTCACCATTGAATTTTTGAGGATATCCAGTGTACTAGGCATATAATACTTGTTAGTTAAAATGCCTAGTGTGATTCACTTTTTTCAATTCTAATGCATTAGGCATATGATTAGGTATTTTGCCTTTTTTACGGGTTGCGGGTTTAAACCGCGACCCGCCCGCAAACCACAAATTTGTCATATTTCAAACCGCATCCGCCCGCATTATGTTTGCGAAACCGCCCATTTATATGCGGGTTGGGCGGATTGGGCGGTTTGAGCGGTTCGGATAAACCGTTGCCCACCCCTAACTAGGCATATAATACTTGTTAGTTAAAATGCCTAGTGTGATTCATTTTTTTCAATTCCAATGTACTAGGCATATGATTAGGTATTTTGCCTCAACTCATATTCACTAGCTACATGTAGCTAGCCTTCAACGCTAGGCAAAATGTATTTATTCATTAGGATCATTTCCCTCCATCTTTGTTGTTGACGTGGCATTCTATAAAATTAATAGTATTTGGATAAATAGCTAAAATAAAGAGCATGGTTGGAGTAAAAACATAAAACAGTTGATAGGCAAAATAAAATATATACTTTATAGTAATATTCAGATAGGTAAAATACCTACTATCGTTGGAGATGCTCTAAGCCCCCTTAACCATTGAACATTATTTTTATTTTTATTTTTTTAATAAATAAAATATTATTCAAAGGCATGAGCAAGGTTTGAAATCAAAATCTTAAATTTCATTAAGAACATTAAGGGGGTGGTTTAGGATGTTTTAAATATGTGTATTTTTTGACTTTTTATAAAAGATGTGTAAAAAAATAGAGAGGGAATATTGATTGATGTGACTCAAAAAAGATGAAAATATAGACTAAATTAAAGTATCCCAAACAAGGCCTAACTATTGAATATTGTTTTGCTCTTCTCATTTATAAATTTATATTTATTGGCCTTATTTGGAAAGATGACTATTTTAGTATATTATTTTAATTTTTGACTATTTTAATAAGCTAAAATATTTGTATTAGAGAAGAGAATTTGATTTTTTTTGTAATTGAATATAATGTTTATGAAAGAAAAAGTGAAATGATTATCGGTTTGATATGACATTTTGACTTATTAACTATTGTATCATATTTTGTCTTATTATTAATTTTAGTCCAAAAAACTAAAAAAATCTTTTGCCAAACACCCCGATTGATTCTCTTCTTGGGAAACACTAGGGTACAGACGCCTCAAAGGTTATAACTAAAAAAAAATGACATAATTTCATACTTGTTGAATTATAACTAAAAAAACATGAGGCATAACTAAAAATCTCATGAGTCATAACTAAAGAAAAAAATTGGTCATAACTAACTAAGGGTGCATATGGTACACCATGCAGAGCAGTCTGTGTATTAGAATTTCCCTTCTCTTAATTATAAAAATAAAAATTAAAAAAAAAATTGTACAAATACATCCCCTTTAGACATAGTTGGAAGGGGTCTACGTAAGGTAAAAGTGATGCATTTTTATAGTTGAGGAAGTCAAAATATATGAATTCATAGATGAGGGATAAAATAATATTCACTAATAGTTGATGGAGACTTGATGTAAATAATTTTTTTTAAAGGTTTAGCTATTATAATTGAAAATTTATTAAAAATAAAAATAAATAAATAAAAACATTTCCACAACAAAAATTATCAACTTTAAAAATTTTCCAGAATCCTAAATTTTCAAAGAAATAATCAATTTTCAAAATTTCTCAAACAAAAATTAATTTAAAATATTTTGATATAACAAAAATTAATTTCCGTTATTGTACCAGTTTCAACTAAATGAGCACACATTTTCCCCTCACATATAATTTTTTTGGACTACACATCTCGAGTTAGGGTTATGTAGAACCATTTACAAGATTGTTTGGATTTCATTGTATAACGGAGTTAAAATAGCTATAAAAAAAATAGGTTTGGGGTGGCAAAATTGTCCATTCTTGTTTCAATTTTGCTAAATTTAGACACACATGTTCCCCTCGGGCATGCAAACTTGCTGAACTGAACAGATCTCAAATCAGGGTTTTGTAGAGCCATTTATGACACTATTTGGGTTTAATCAGATAACTAAGTTTAAAAGGTTCATAAATTATATTTGACAGGGCAAAATTGCCCATTCTTATTTCTATTTTGACAAAATCGGGCACACATTCCCTCTAGCATACGAACTTGCCCAATTAAACTGATTTCAAATTGTGATTCTGTATAACCATTTACGAGTTTGTTTGGAATTACTTGTGTCAAAAATAAATAAATAAATAAAATAAATAAATAAATAAATTTGTTATAAACGTGCTTTCTTAATTAAAAGTATGGTTTGTGTCTACATTTTTTGCATAAAGTCAATTTTGATAAAATGTAGCCACAAAGCGCAACCACGATCTAACCTAGTTTGGAAATTAATTGCAAAAGCGGTCTAATTATTTAATTATAGAGTAAATAAATAAATAAACCCAAAATGGTTAAAGACCCTAGCCTTTGAAATATACGAACCGAACTTGAGTGACTTAGACAAGTCATATGAGACAATTCTCTAACAATTAATATGATGCTATTTTTTATTTGTTTTTATTTTTTGGGTTTATTGGTATTTGATGTTATTCATAAGAAGAAAATGTTATTAAAAACCAAATACAACTTTGGTTAGGTATATTGGGGGAGAAAACAAAAGAAGATTTTTCCCCATCAATTAGTAGTATATATCCTAAAACACGAGCAAAATGGGTGAGAATGTTGTCCAACATGAAACATGTAACACAAGCGTGTACACAATCACCAAGAACAAGTTTGCTTCCAAAATTTTCAATCTTACTAGCAGATCTTCAACCAGTAATTGAGAACGAACAAACAAGCAAACATTTTTTAGTTATATAGTGCAACACAACTTTTGTCCAACATGGTAACTCCTTCAGAGCATTCTACCACAGATCCTTCCAAGATGACGGCTCAAATAAGTTCTCATTCATCCGCAGTGAATTACAAAGGTTGCAGTCAATAGAGGCATATCTGTCATCTAAGGCTCCTGCCCAAGAAGTGAAGGTCTGTAGAAAACATGACTTTGTGCTATTTCAATGCGTTCTCGTGGATCATTCATGTTTTCATCCCTCAGTGCTTGAAGGATGGCCTGTAAAGAAAGCTCCCTGAAGATTCAGATGGATTCAAGGTCAGAATTATGTTCTGCTGAACTCTATCTCTCTATTGTATGCTTTAAATAAGCTCGATCAACTACCAAAACTAGAGAGAGAGAGAGATTATACCTCGTAATTAGCATTTTATATAGTGTCTTCAAGATGGGGCAAAGCTCAACTGGAGCAACAGGCTTGTTTTCTTCTGGATGTAGGATGCTTAAATGGGACTGACTCAGCAGTTCATAAAAAGCTTTCACAGCAGAGACACCCTGCAATGAAGTCAGGCAAAATTAGCATTGTTGATAAGCATGACAGATTCCTCAGATGATGAAACAAAAGAGTGATCCAAAATAGAAATCTAAAGTTGGAACAGATTGCAATGCCAAGATAGTCACAGTTCTTTTCATTTGACAAGCTATCCACCAGTTAGAATGGTAGATAGACAACTTTACTTCTGACATAAGGATACAGCAATATGCAATTAAATGAAGCTTCCAAACAGGTGTCCAATGAGTTTTCAGTGACCAATCTCCAAGAAACAATGTCAAGGAGAAAGCATCCTGCATATGATAATTCCATTAGAGCCATTTATTTTCTCACTCCACAGTGCAGGTGAAACACAATAGAGTGATGAAAATTAAAACCAATGTTATTGGCCCTGAACCATCAAGTGGTCATTGGAGATGACACTAGTCTTAAAATCAAACCCACCATGGCAGCATTGAGATAAGCAATACCTCCAAAGAAGCAATGAAATGAACTCAACGAAAAAAGTGTTCCTGATTATATGCCAGATTAAATTCAGATAGTTGAACCAAATGAACATATCATGATATTCAAGACAATTCGATGAAAGATGATATTGGATGTCCTTGTTATATGATTGCTACAACAAATATGAATCAAAAAGAAATGGGCGAGGGAGAATCATCTAACTTGCTCTCAAAAGACAGCTTAAAGGAAGTAGGCCAAGCCAGTTTTAAACTTATATAATGGTTTGGCTCAATCACTTCAAGTTTCAACGGTTAGGTAATTACTTTAAAAAATATGCACCAATTGTGATGGTGAGCATGGATAGAAGGGGAAATGTGGAACTTCACATGGAACACATTTAGGACATCATCGATTGAAGTTTTGGAATAATTTTGAATAATTAATTAATTGTACTTATTTTAATTTAGTATGTTGTTGGACATATTTTATGTCATTACAGTAGGTTTTAGTAGTTAGGGATACTAGGCTAATTTCAATAATTGCAAGACATGGATAGTAGTCATAGTCGGGTCAAGTAATGCTATTTGAATTTTATTTGGAGTCCTAGTTGGTGTAGAATATTTGTAGTTACCAAATATTCTTAGTTTCAAATATTGCTATCTTATTCCTTATCGAAGTAGGAAAAGCCTAGCAGCTTATAAATAAAGATGTAATCTTTATTTTCAATGAAAAGTTGATATTATGAGAATTTGAGGTTGTGTTTGTGTGAATTTGCCTAACCCTTTCGAGTGGTGAAACACCTCTTACTGTTTCTTCTTCTCCTTCTGAGTGAATAACCCAAGCACTATTCTCAGGTTACTATTCACAGCCTTCAAAAGTGCAGTTTTCAGCTCTAAAACCCTATCCAATCACCTCCTTTCAACCCTAAAAAGATCAAGAGGCCACGAAGGAAGTAAAGAATGAAATATGTAATATACATATTTGATACAACTTTGAAAGATTTGAAAGCTTCCACAAATAGATTGATTGCCTCAATTCTAGAGGAAGATAATATCAGGGAGGAAAAGGATAAAACTGCTGTGATGCTTGAAGAAACCATAAAAAAGCAAGATGAATATGTTGCCGACATTGAGGATATTGAAGAAACAAAGGTTAAAATTGATGGTGTAACTCAAGAAATCATCGAAAAGAGTAATGATATAGTCAAAGAAAAGGATGAGAATGCGGTTGAATTTTCTACTCTTCACAAGACAAAAGATGTCCACGACTCTTCAGGAATTCCAGCCATTGAGTAAATCATTCCAAATAAATTAAATAAAGTCAATGGATGAGAATGGTTTCTCATTGTTGCTTCAAAAAATCTATTTGAATGGTTGCAAGTGCAAGATTCTAGAATACAAAACTCAAGGTTGAGTTTTTTAAAATGCAAGGGAGAATGATGGCAAGCATGGAAAGGAAAGGGAAAATCTAGAATTTCACATGGAACAGATTTAGGACATCATGGATTGAAGTTTTGGAATAATTGAGTAATTATTTGTACTTATTTTAAAATAGTATGTTGCCAACAAACTTTGTCATTATAGTAGGTTTAAGTAGTTAGAGATATTATGGTAATTTCAAAAATGGCTAGACAAGGGTAGTAATCATATTCCATGGGTCATCTTGCACGTCAAGTAATTTTATTTGGAGTTCTAATTGGTCTAAAATATTTGCAGTAATATTCTTAGTTACAAATATTGGTGTCCTAGTCCTTGTAGAAGTAGGAAAAGTTTAGCTACTTATAAATATAGATAAGTTGATGTAATCTTATAAATAGAGATATAGATAAGTTGACAACTTAAAAATATAGTCTACCAATTGATGTAATCTTGGCACTAACCTGGTGTTGTGTTCTGCTTGAAGAAACCATAAAAAAGCAAGATGAATATGTTGCCGACATTGAGCATATTGAAGAAACAAAGGTTAAAATTGATGGTGTAACTCAAAAAATCATGGAAAAGAGTAATGATATAGTCAAAGAAAAGGATGAGAATGCGGTTGAATTTTCCACTCTTCACAAGACAAGATGTCCACAACTCTTCAGGAATTCCAGCCATTGAGTAAATCATTCCAAATAAACTAAATAAAGTCAATGGATGAGAATGGTTTCATTGTTGCGTCAAAAGATCTATTTGAATGGTTGCAAGTGCAAGATTCTAGAATCCTTATACTACAACATTACAAAACTCAAGGTTGAGTTTTTTAAAATGCAAGGGAGAATGATGGCAAGCATGGAAAGGAAAGGGAAAATCTAGAATTTCACATGGAACAGATTTAGGACATCATGGATTGAAGTTTTGGAATAATTGAGTAATTATTTGTACTTATTTTAAAATAGTATGTTGCCAACAAACTTTGTCATTATAGTAGGTTTAAGTAGTTAGAGATATTATGGTAATTTCAAAAATGGCTAGACAAGGGTAGTAATCATATTCCATGGGTCATCTTGCACGTCAAGTAATTTTTTTTGGAGTTCTAATTGGTCTAAAATATTTGCAGTAATATTCTTAGTTACAAATATTGGTGTCCTAGTCCTTGTAGAAGTAGGAAAAGTTTAGCTACTTACAAATATAGATAAGTTGATGTAATCTTATAAATATAGATATAGATAAGGTGATAACTTATAAATATAGTCTACCAATTGATGTAATCTTGGCACTAATCTGGTGTTGTGTTCCCACTAGATTTGTTTTGTTCAATAAAATGTTGCTTAAAAAAAACAAACAAAAAAACCTTATAAATATAGATGTGATTTTTATTTTCAATGAAGAGTTGTTATTATGAGAATTTGAGATTAAATTTGTGTGAATTTGGCTAAACCTTGTTAGGGTGAAGCATTAGGGTGAAGCACCTCTTTCCCTCTCTTATTCTTCTAATTATCTTTCTTTTTTACATAAATATCCCAAGCATTATTCTCTACTTACTATTCATAGTCTTCAAAAAGTGCACTTTCAACTCCAAAACCCTATCCCAATCAACCATAATCCCTTCTCTTGCCTATTACCTTCAATTTAATCATTAAAACCCTAAATTACTCACTGTTTAGGCCCTTAAATAGCATAGGGAAAATTATAATAGTAGTCCCTATACTTTGGCCCTTGTGTCATTTTTATCTTTGTAATTTCAATTTGCTCAATTTTAACCTTGAATTTTTTTGCTTTGTTTCAATTTGGTCCAATTGATTACAACTGTTGGCATTATTTTATGAAAAATGTGCAAATGGGTGGCAAGTGCCTTGCTTTAGAGGCAAAATTGTAAATTTGATCAACTTAGTGAATTAACTTCATTTGCCAACATTTTCAGTTTTCAGTTTTTAGTTTACAAAAAACAAGAAACAAGTTTTCATTTATTTTTGTAAAAAACAAAAACAAAAAACTTGTTTGCTGTACAAAAACATTTTGAACACAAATAAAAATAAAAATAAAAATAAAGAAATATATTGAATGAGTTGCCAAGTTGGTGGCCGGAGATAGAGGGTGGACGGATGTGGTAATCAATAGTGGCGGATGGTGTCCACAGGAGTTAGTGGTTGGATGTCACGGGGAGGTCACGAGGTGGCCGAAAGGACGCCAAAGGTGGCTAAAGATTATGACAGTGACCGCCAACCCACCAGATAGTCGCAAAAGGTTAGCCGGAGCCACTACCCACCGGCAGTTGGTGGCACTGGTCAATGGTAATGGTGACGGTAGGTGGTGGCCAAAGGTGGAGGGTGAGAGGAGAAAGTGAAAACTTGTTCTAAAAAAAAAAAAGTGGAAACACATTTTGTGTTCTCAAAAATTCTAAAAATTTTGAAATCGATTTCATTTTTTTTAAAACGAAAACAATATATCAAACAAGTTTTGTTTTTAGTTTTCAAAAAAAATTAAAACAAAAACATAAAACAAGAAACAAAAAGATTAACAAACGACCATTAGTAATTATTTTTCATAAGAAAACCCTAATAGCATTGTTAATTTGGCCAAAATGACACAAAATATAAAATTAAGGATTAAAATTGAGTCAATTAAAATTATAAAGACTAGAATGACGCAAGAGGCAAAATACAAGGACTACAGATGCAATTTGCCCAATATTTTGAAAATTCAGCAAGTCGTCCTACATCAGATTGCTTTTGAGTTAACTTAGAAAGGTGAAACATTCCATTGAAAGATGGGCATGTTGTTGCACATTTTTAATCCCTCACATAAGAAAACAAAACTTGGGTAATAGGCATGCGTATAAGCATCCATTTTTAATCCCTAAGGTAAGAAAACAAAACCTGGGTAATAGGCACGTGTATATGTTACATGGACTCGGGTACGAGTGTCGGGTGCTGATACGTATCTAGAGGTCAAATTCACCAAATCATAAATTTAAGGGTAGGTGAACTCAGCAAAAAAGATATCATATTTTTATATTTTTAATCAAATATGTGAGATAAAATAGTGCTATATGTCCCTAATAGTGTCAAAAAGGCATTTATAACAATTATACAACAATATGTACATATAATAATAGTGTTATATACAATTATATAAAAAGTGTCCATTGAAAAGTATCCGACACATATCTCATACCCTTGTCCAAGTATCGGGTGTCCGACACGGTGTATTTGATTTATTTTGAAAAGTCCATGTAACATAGTATAAGCAGCCATCAAAAGTAATTCTTGCTTTGAACCACTTGGCAACAATGACAATGAAAAGTAAATGCACAATCCTTAAAAAATATAAATAAAAAAGAAAAAAAAAAGAAAAGAAAAAAAAAAAAGGAACTCTTTAATAACTTCATATTATCAATTGCTCAAGTGCAACAGAACCAAAGGGTGAGTAGAAAATGCAATGGATTCAGAAGGAGCTCAAAGCATTTTATCTCCTTGACTATCGATATAAATAGACTAAATTTCTATCATTCGCAGAGTCAAGGGCTTCAACCTTTCTAATAAACAATTCTATAAGTAATCAGGATATATACCTGAATCATCCCCTTTCCCTTGATGCTGTCACCCATGTCAAGGCTCAATTCCCCTTTAGCCAACTGCTGGCCGTACCATGCATTACGACCTTTCAACAAGGTTACGTAAGTGTCAGCCAACAAGGGACCTGCAAGCTTCTCTGGTTCTTTGGACAAGAGATGAGTAATAAATATCATCTCTGATGTACAGTGTGCAAAGTATACAGATTTGCTGGTGGCACTCTCATTAGTCAGAGCTGCTACCATACCTGTGAAATCCAACTAAAAAAGATCAATATGTAAATTCTAAGCCAAAACTACAAACTCAATGAAACAGAATGTAATTAACCATGATAAGCATGATTACTCTACTTTAGAAGAGTATCAGTCATTCCTCTATTCTCCATTAGTTATGACTTTCATGCCCCAGTCTATTTACATCATTGGCTTCTTCAACGATTTCACAATTTCTTCTCAAGGAGATAAATAAAACACATAATGAAACACATTAAACAGAAGACAAACATACTTCGTGGCAGTATTTATAACACTATAAGAATTCCATATGATCAATACTCCTGAGGAGATGAGTCCATAAGCTATATTTTAAGAAGATTATAAACTTTCTATAGACTGCAAAAATACATTCTCAATACTCAATTAAATATGATGTGCTATAAATATCAGAAATTCTCAATTCCTCAACAATTTTGATCTTTTGATACCTTTTGGTGGCTTGACTTATGTATGCAATTTTGATTCCAGGATTTCTTACTTTTTAGTAAAAGTAGGTCCCTAAAAATCAAACTTAGATTTAGTATAACTAGGTTGACATGATTTTATCAGGTTTTTGTAATTGGTAAGTTTTATCAGCAAATTGCTGTGTGGGAAATTTGACTTTAATATTGGGGATGTAATGGACTAGCTTTGATGGTTTCTATATATTCCTTTCTAAATTTTTTTAAGTACCTTTGGTGCTTTCAATCACTATCAATTAAGAGAACCCCTAGGTTGAACTTTTGGTTCTTCTTTGTTACCTACTGCATCAGTTGTTATGAGACCAATGATGTGCCTTGGTTTGATGTCTAAGGGCAGAAGGGGCAACCTAATGCCAATCATGCCAATCATATGAAACATGTTTAGAACATTTGGTGCTTTCTAAATTTTTTTAAGTACCTTTGGTGCTTGCTATCACTATCAATTAAGAGAACCCCTGGGTTCAACTTTTGGTTCTTCTTTGTTACCTACTGCATCAGTTGTTATGAGACCAATGATGTGCCTTGGTTTGATGTCTAAGGGCAGAAGGGGCAACCTAATGCCAATCATGCCAATCATATGAAACATGTTTAGAACATTTGGAATGAAGTTTTGAAATGATCGATTTTCTTTCTTTATTATTATTTATTTTGACAAAGTATGCTAGTGGATGAATTTGGTTGTGTAAGTAAAAGGTATTTTGGTTATTCTTACTTATGTGGGATATAGCCTATAGGCTCTAAGGTAACTTTTTTGGGCCTTATCATAAGTCTAGTAATTCTTTCAAGTCTCACATGTAATTGTGATAAGAATCAAGGACCACAACTTCATTGCCACCACACAATTGATAAGATGATCACATTTTCGCCATCATGCGTACTCATGCAATACCAATTAACATGCACTTGTCTCCTAATCAAATTATCAATGGTGAGAATCTTGCCATGTGTCACACACCAAACAAAGAAAACCACCTTAGACCTACAACTGTCTCGCAAGGGAATGTGGAACCCCCCACCCACCACAAACGAGCCCTATGGTTCTCATAAAAGACTTAACATCAAATTTGCCAAAATAAGACGTCATCCATCGAATGCATCATCTTTATTGCCACTATAGGTAGCATATAAACACGCGAGGAGATCCAACAACTTCCCTTTCTCCCAATCATTAAGCTCTCTTTGAAGGGCAATGGTCACCATCCATCTTCAAATATTCATTTGACTCCCTCTTCAGAACAACGTGAGCAACATTAGGACAAACCATGTCCAACCTCTCCTCCCCACAATAATAATGACTCCAGAACCCCAAGACTACACCATAGGACATTGAAACCTCCTCAATAGTTAAAGTCCTTCAAGAACCCCAAAATTTATTGATGATGCCACCCTTGATTGGTGGGAGGCGCATTATCCACTTTGGAAGCCTAAGACTATGGGCTCATTGCATGGACCAAAAAGACCAGAGACTTTTTGATCCGATAAATGTAATTGGTAGATTTTTATTTCAATTATCATTAAAAAAAAATTTAAAAAAAAACGATAGGGTTTGACCTTTGTAACAAATCAAACCCAGAATTTTTAATTTCTTCAGTTTAAACCCTAAACTTTTTTTTTTTGGGGGGTAATTTTTAAACCCTAAATTTTTAAATAGGTTAAAATTAAAGCTATCAGTCCATCTCCATTAATTTATCTAACGGGATAAATTTTCTAGAGCACACGTTGTATTCTATTATTTGCTATTGCATCTTACTTATTAGTTCTAATTTGAAAGTTCACAACATATCAGTACCATCATTTATTAAATATCCCTTAAATCTGAACCATTTATCAAAAAAGCACTCCCATGAGTTTGTTTACATGGGATAAATTCTCCTTTAGCCCTCAATCTCCCGTCTGTCTTACCATCAAAGCCCAAAGCCCTTATTGTCACGACCTTTCTTCCTTGTTCGACCGGCCACCTCCCTTCCTCCCTTTTCTTTTAGTACGCTTTTAAATACCACCAAAACCTTTACCCCTCTCTTCCTCTCCCTCTCTAAAGTGTAAACCATTATTTTCTTTTCTCTCTCACTAAAACTCTCTATTCTTGCTCTCCATGGACGGTCCATGATGGACCCATCAACTGATCCGAATAAAACCACCAGCCTACATAGCTCATGCCCCCAAACCCACTCCCTACTATGCTCCTAATAACCATCCACCTTACGCCAAGGTACAAAAATTCAAAACCCTCTCTCTCTCTCTCTCTCTCTCTATATATATATATATCTACACCTGTGTGTATATATACATATGTATATATATTCCCTCTCTCTAGAAAAGACCCTGATTGTGGTGATGTTGCAAGAGATGATAATAGTGGAGATAACAGTGTTAGATGAGGAGAATAGATCTAGTAGTCCAGAATCTTTGAACTACTTTGGAAAAAATTGCAGTTTTGATTGCATTACTATACATCAAATCCAGCTTTAGAAATGTATTTGGAGTTCTGAGGTATCTTCAAATAAAGCTTATCGATTCTTTGATTGCATTACTATACATCAAATCCAGCTTTAGAAATGTACTTGGAGTTCTGAGGTATCTTCAAATAAAGCTTATGGATTCTTTTCTAACAAAATTTGTCAATTCTTAAAATCTACAAGCGACCCACTCGGCCTTGTTGACTAACCAACTAAAGTGATTGAAGAAAATGGGTCACCTCATGATGTCAAAGAATTTTCAAGTTTTTCTTCTCTGCAAGGCAAGGTAGATTGGTCGCCACAACAATTATATATATCAATTTTGGGTTGTTTGTGCTATTATTTGTAGGTGGCGGTGTTGGATTTGAGGGAGGAGATGACAGAGAGAGGACAAGGGGGTAGATTAAGGGAGGAGGTGGCAATAGAGGGCAAGGGAGGGTGGATCTAAGGGAAGAGGTGGTCATGAAAGTGGCACTACTACTTAGTGTTGGTGGCATAAAATTATAACAAGTTTTATGTAAAATTGTGAGTGTAATACTAAAATACACTTTCCCAATTCTACTTAACAGTAATAGACAGATGTTTGATATTGAAACCAGATCAAAAGTATAGAGTTTAAATTGAAGATATTGAAAACCCAGAGTTCGATTTGTTACAACGGTCAAACCCTGGTGTGTGTTTTTCATTATTATTATTACTATTTTAGGTTATTTAAATTATGTTTCCAAATAAAATTAAGATTCTAGTTTCCTATTTTGATTAAGGTTAGTGGGCTATTAATGAATTTGTGATGCCCTTTGTGAGTTCTCTCTTTTGCTATGTTCCATACCAATTTCTTATCAAAGCCTTACCTTTCGTTTCTAGCTAGTTGCCACTGCAATAATCCTTTGTTGCTGGAATCCCTTCCTTTTTTCCTTATCTACTTTGAGGGAAAACAAAAAACCTAACTAGTCGCAATTTCGATCTTCGCAAGTTCGCAACTCTTCCTCTCTAGCTCATGACCAGCCAAGGAGCTTTTCCTGGCTCCTGAAAGCCCTGCTAACAACCTTCTCCATTCATCCCTCTATCTCATTTTGCCATCCCTGCCTCAGCAGTCTTTCATACCTCTTCATAGTCTTTGCAGCTACCACCCTCATCCTCTTCGCAGCCTATGCGACCACCACATAATCATAATTGCCTTACAACTAGGTATTCTCAATCGTGAACAACAATAGTGAAGACGACGCCATAGAGTAAGGTAACTCCAACCCTTAACCCAAACCAGCCACCTTAACCCAAACCAGCCATAGCCCTTAACTCGAAAAGATCTCGACCTGACTCATTACAATACCAATCGAATATACATAAAACCAAGCTATTCATTACCTTTAACCCAAATCCTAAAACCCGACCCATAATAATGCACCCAACATTGTTTACCCCCACTGCCAAACCAACCCACACAGCAACCAAGCCCAACCCAAAATCACTCAGCCCAAATTCTTTTCTTTCAAACCCAGCTCAAACCATCTTCTCACTTAAACCCAAATCCAACCCAACCAATTCCTAGGCCCATGTTAGAGCATTAACCCAACCTATACGCAGCCTAAGCATACTCTCTGATGCCGCCCACATAATCCAGCTTAAAAAAATATATATATAAAAAATCTCGTTCTTTAATTATGATGACCAATATCGAGTTGAAGAAAACACAAGAGCAAATGAACAAAACATTAACACAGGTGCAAGATGCCTTAAAAAAAATAACCGTAGCTTTGGTAGATAAGGCTACAACTAGTGGAACTTTGAGTATTCCCCCACCTCATACTTTTGGGTACGGCCATCAACGGCTATCAGAGGACTCTTGATTTACTGATGTGGACAGGGGTGCCAAACTAAACGTCCCCGATTTTAGTAGGGGCATGACCCAGAGGTATTCTTCATTTGGAACACAGTTTGGGGAGCTTCTTTAGTTGGTATCAATTGACTAATGAGAGAAGATTAAATTTTTCCAAAGTTAAATTGACAAGTGTTGATAGTGTCTCATTTTCTACCTGATTTGTGCATATGACCTGTTACTACTCGCTCAACCCAACTAATAGGAAAATAGCGAGGTCTTGTTATTTTCAGATCTCAGTATATATTATGGGTTATTTTAGGGACTAGGGTTCTGTGAGTAGAGTGATCGATTGTTCAGAAATCAACTTTAGAACCAAAAATTCAGAATTTAAGTGTGTAAATAGAGATAATGTGGTGTGGGGAAGCTCCCCAAAGTGGTATTTAAACTCCTCCATTACCCCTCCTCAAAGAAAGTCACATTGCAACTTCTCCTAACATTTCACCACTGAAGCAAGGATAGTAAATAAAGACATAAATTAGGATAGAAGACCAAACAAAAATCAAAGTCAACCTATCACAATTGGCGAGATACCACTTGTTCTAACCTGCATGATGTTTTTGAAACCTATCAACCACTGAATCCCAAACTACCATCGCATTGAAAGAAGAACCAAGAGGGAGATACAAATACGTAACAAGTAGGAGTCCAACCTTGCAACCACGAACATCATCCAAAGCTTCCACATGCAGCATATACCAATTTAAACAGGTACAAATATACATTATAGAAACATGCAAGGTATACATGAATTTATTTTGCATGAATATGATGACCTCCTATAAATTACCCATTAAACAAAACCCCACAGAGGTAGTTAGTTCTTTGCTTCATCACTAAGGTTAAAAAAAAAATCATAAAAGGGGTGCTAGTAATCTTCAAACTAGTTTACACATCAAATCATATCATGCATCAAATGTCAACAGTAAGCACTAGCGTATGCTTATGAGCTATGCTAGATGGGATTCGGGTAAAAATGTTGGGTGTGGGTATGCATATAAGTGCTTCATCTAATTTTCATGCCCAAGGGCACCAAGACACGGCTGAACATCTATCAAATGAAATAACCTGTCCTGTAGTGCTCAACATCTATTTACAGTCAAGATATTGGACACTTACCAGCTCCAATGGCATAGACATTCTTTAAGCCACCCATAATTTCATGAGTGAAAAGATCACCATTATCCCACACGACAAAATGGGGCTGCCTCAGGAACCTTGCTAGTGGTTTTCTCCACTTTTCAGCTCCGCATATCCGAGCATTAGCATATTCCTTGTTGTAAATCTCTGATGCAATATTTGGTCCCCCGAGATAGAGAATATTCTCCATGGGAACTCCAGCTGCAAAGTATTGAATACTCAGGACAATAGGAACAAGTCATTTAATATAGAAATGGAAAGGAAAACATAACAAGCAAGGAAAAAAAAGAAGTAACATCGAAGTTACCCCTGTAGTTAGATAAGACATAATCCATTAACTGAACAATAAACACCAGTAAATAATGCAAGAGAAACAAACAGCAAAAAATTGTAACATTTAAATTTTTATTGGATAAGAATTGGTTCTTTTAAATTGCCCTCTCATACTAACAATTTAACATAGTAAATGTAAATTGTTACTTATCAACAAAGGAAATAAATAATATAAAAATGATTTCCTTACTTTATTTTTAAAAAAATAAAAATAAAAATAAAAAGGGGCATTGACTAGCAAATCCTATATCCCCAACTTGTGGCCCACTTAGTATCATAGATATTCTTGTAATCCAAAAAGTCCTACCTCACATTAAAATCCCCCAAATGAAGCATACCTACATTTGGTAAAGTAAAATGTATGTGAATATGATATTTCAAATTGGAAAATCTTAGTTGTCATATTAAGTCACATTATCACATTTTAAGAATAACACATTTGACAAAATTTTAATAACACAATAGTGCACACATTAGAATGATGTTCCATTGTCTTATTTTAAGAACGACACATTTGACACAAGTTTAATAAGACAATAGTGCACATTTTAACATGATGTCCAATTGTCACATCTTAAGACAATAGTGCACACATTAGAATGATGTCCCATCATCACATTTTAAGAATGACACATTTGGCAAAAATTTAATAAGACAATAGTGCACACATTAGAATGATGTAGACAATCTCCCATTAAAATCTCCCAAATAAAGCATACCCACATTTGGAAACCAAACGTAGCATCACCCAAGAATCTCCAGGAAATATAGTGACAGGATCTCACAGTGTACCTTTCCAAATTCAAGGGACTTAATTTGTCTACAAGAAAATTCATGGGACATTCCGGTACATAATTTTCTAGGGTGGGATTTCTAGGTAAATATCCCAATTAAAAAAATGAATAATTGGTGAGAGGTCCTAACAAATTTACTTGCAGTGGGTCAAATTCCATGACTTTTTTGGTAACCTATGAGTTCCCATTGACTTTGATGGAAAATGCATGAGACCCCCAGTGGGGGTGCTGGGGGTCTCTTTTGATTGGCCAAAAACTGTTTTTTTTTTTTTTTTTCTTTCTTCTCCTCCATTGGCAGCCCCCCACGTGGAGGTGGGGGTGATGGGGGTGCTGCCGTACAGGGGGTCCGAAGCACTGCTCGACTTTGATTCATGGTAGATTCAGGCCTCATTTGGGAACAAACTATTTTAGTAACTTTTTGACTTTTTACGAAAAGATGTGCAGAAAAGTAGAGAGAGTGATGTGACAACTTATAGTGACTTTTTGGTTTTTTGGCTAAAATATATAATTGACAAACGAGGCCTAAGTCCTTTTTAAAATAAGGAAAAAATTCAAATGATTTTCGTTATTGAAGTGCTCAGCAATGCTACTCATGTTGATGGCATTGTTGAGTTGTCAAGTTAGTTATTATATATATAAACTTTAGAATACCATTACTTTCATTGTACCAAACAAGATTCATATTGACTATTAAATGATGTAAAATAAAATAAAATTTCTTAGTAAAATTTTCTAAATATATGCGCTACGAAATTGTGAAATCTAACAGTTTTTGTTTAAAAAAAGTAAGGAATTTTGCAATTTTTGTGTTTGACAAACTAAGAATCAGCATTGACAAATTTTTTTTTTTTTTCAATTTTTTTACAAAATTTCTCAGTTGAGAAATTTTCTTAAAACTGAGATATTTTTCAATTTTTACTATCAAATTTCTCACCTTTATATATATATGGAATAGCAATATTATTTAATAGATCTCAAATAGGTTCCAAAAATAAAAAAAAAATGATCAAAAACCAATGTATAGAATTATGGATATGGACTATTAAAGTTTTGATTGAAAAAAAAAAGTAACCACTTGGCATGTCACTTCAGTGTTACACGCAACAACTCACATTTTAACAAATAATAGTACTAGAGGGTGGCGCATTGCATGGGATTTGTTGGGTTAAGGAATCTTTGGTAGTACTTACTGCTGGTCTTATAAGTCTAAAAATTTGACCTCTGAACAAATTCCCCACAAATAAATTGACACATGTTAAAACATGTTGACACAAGTAACACGTGTGCCCACTTGAATCTATATATGTGCAAGCATGTAGATATGTATGTATATGCAAATACAAATGCACAACATATTCTAGTGAAAAGAGCGTGGTCGTAAACGCTCCAATTTTAACCGGCCCTAAGACTTGAGCGCCTTTTTCTAGTCACCCGATGATGAAAACCAGAATGCATGACTTTGATTATCTCCAACGCGAACCATTAATGAGAGTGGATCCCAACCTTACACCCATTTTGGCTATTTTTAGACCTTTAAAACCATTTTCAAAATGTTTTTAGACTTGCAAAATCCAATCATTCTATGATGTTCAAGCTCACATTTCAATCAAAACTTTGTACTTTTTAGAAACCGAGCAAAGACAGAATAGAAATGAGTGGAGAGGAGGAGAATCCTTTGGAAATACCCTGTTTGCACCCCATTTTGGCCTTGGCCGTACAAAATTGTATGGCCAAACAACTTTTGTATAGCCAAACAACTTTTGTACGACCAAACAACTTTAGCGACAAATAGAGCAATTTCTAGAAGATGACCCCCATGCAAGTGGGAAGGTGCCTCTTCTGCAATTGACAGGAATTGTGCCCCAAGGCACCTTCCCGAACCTCCTAGCCTATGAAAACCCCTTGAGATCATTGAATTGAGGACCTTTGAACCCTTGGAGGATTGAATTATTGAAGACTACCAGAAACTCTTCAATTATTCTCTCTATACTTACACATATACATACACCATTTGAAGATCAATGGATATTTTCGCTAGAGATTCAAGTCCAATTTCATATGCTTGAGGGTGATTAGAAGCAGGATTGCCAACCAAAGAGCCATTCCTCCTTCTTTAGAGGTAATCTCTTGAAACTTTCTCATCACTTTCTCTTCTTTTTTTTTTTCTTTTCTTTTCTCTGTTGCTAAACACTTACAATTTTGGATTCTTTATTGTTTAAGATGTGATAGGGCCTGTGGATAGTGGAGGGGATTTGCCATCCCTCCATAGGATTAGTTGATAGCTTTGAATTCTTATTTTCTTGCATTCTCTCTCTCTCTCTCTCTAACTCCGCCGGGGTCGTTAACAACTCTGCCGGTCCCAAGCCCGGGTTAAGGAGGAGGATTGTGTGGTAGGTAGCCGACAACTAACACGTAAAATAGCCGCTCGGATCCCTTATGACAATGAATCCTACTTTGAATCAATGCTAGGTCGTCACCCTCAAGTGACGCGTTGCGCCTGCCTCCGGATGTTTCGAAAAGTGAGCAAGGGGCGCCGCATTGACGCCTGGGTGCGGTGAAAAATTGGCAAAGGTTCTCGCATTTTTCTGGACGAGCGCGGGTAAAGAAACTAGTCTAATACTATAGGTTTAGGGTAGCCACTTGGAATATAGGAACCTTAACTAGCAAGACGATAGAGTTGGTAGATGTTATGATTAGGAGGAGAGTTAGTATAGTTTGCGTACAAAAAACTAAGTGGACGGGTGAGAAGGCTAGGAAAATTGAGGATACCGGTTTTAAACTGTATTATAGTGGTAAGGATAGCCACAGGAATGGAGTAGGAATCTTAATTGCCAATGGTCTTGTGGAGAATGTAGTAGCGGTCATTAAAAAAGGGGATAGGATTATGTTAGTTAAACTAGTTATTGGAGGGAATATAATGAACGTCATTAGTGCATACACCCCTCAAGTAGGATTAGATGATCAGACTAAGAGAGATTTTTGGGAGCAAATGGATGAGACCTTACAGGAGATACCCGTAGGAGAGAACCTGGTTATAGGTGGAGATTTTAATAGCCATGTAAGCATAGATAAACTAGGCTATGAAAGGGTTCATGGTGGATATGGTTTTGGTGACAGAAATGAGGCTGGAAAGAGTATCTTAGATTTTGCGTTGGCTTCTGACCTGGTGGTGGCCAATACTATGTATAAGAAGAGGGAGGAGCATTTGATAACCTTTAAGAGTGGGTCAATTAAGAGCCAAATAGATTACTTCTTAGTGAGAAAAGTGAACTGCCTAAAATGCAATGATTGTAAGGTGATTCCTGAAGAGAGCCTGACCTCTCAACAAAGGATTTTGGTACTAGATTTATGTTTTAGAGGGCAATACCAAGTTAGGAAGAATGGTGGGCGTTGTAAGACAAGATGGTGGGACCTAAAAGGGGATAAATTAGAAACATTTAAGAATAGAATGGATAAGGAAAGTACTTGGGCCTTGGAAGATGATGCTAACACTATGTGGAACTCGATGGCCAGTTATATGAGGAAAATCTCAAGGAAAGTGCTTGGAGAGTCGAAAGGAACGGGACCCAACTCTAGGAAAACTTGGTGGTGGAAGGAAGAGGTTCAAGTGGTAATTAAGGCAAAAAAAAAGTGCTTTAAAAAATGACAAAAGAATAGAACTGAGGAAAACCTTAAGAGCTATAGATTGGCTAATAAGGAGGTCAAGAAAATAGTGAGAGAAGCTAAGTTGAAAACTTATGATGATCTATACACTAGACTAAATAGTAAGGAGCGAGAGAAGAGGGTATACAAACTTTCTAAGATACGGGAGAAGAAAATAAGAGATTTTAATCAAGTTAAGTGCATCAAGAATGAGGATTCTAAGGTATTAGTGAGGGATGAAGAGATTAAGGAAAGATGGTAGAACTATTTTGAGAAACTATTAAATGAGGAACATAGAGGTACGGCAATAGGGGAAGAAATAGCTAGTTATACGATAAATCAGGACTATAGGTTCTATCGCAGGATTAGGAACTTTGAAGTGGAGATTACACTTAAGAAGATCAAATCAAATAAGGCTTTAGGACCAGATGA